ATCATAATGAGAGGCACAAACTGTGGCTGAAAACGTCCTTAGGACTCGTTAATTCATCTCTTTTAATGATAGATTGCGTAGGCGGAGATATACTGTTTAACTGAGTTTTATTCTTTGAATTATTTACAATGTGCAAAATACTGTGATGCTTCTTAAAGCAATGTTGACATGTATTTAAACTCTTGCATTTTTTGAGCAAGTGCATATTAGATAAACAATTAAAACAGTAACGATTAGATTTTACAAATTCTATCCTTTGCTGAACCGATAAATTTAGAAATTTCGAACATTTGGCTAAACTATGATCTTCTTTACAATAACCACAACCCAAAGTAGCAACCAGAACATTATTCTTATTTTGAAACACAGATTTAGGTACCTTATTACTTGTTGATTTGCTATTTTGAAGTGTTCTTGCATAGTTTTTTAGGAATTCAATTAAAGTCGTAAGTTTTGGAATTTCATTAGATTTTAACTGACGTTCCCACCATAATTTTGTAGCAAGGGTCTAATTTTTGCAAAATTAAATAAGTCATTAAAGTGTCACCAAAATTATCAATGGTTTGATTCAATACTTCTAAAGAACGAATTACTTCATTAATATTGTCAACTAAATTTAAAATAGCAAATGCTGATTCATTTTGAATAGTTGGTAAACTTAAAAAACGTTTAATATATGCAAAAATTTGTTCTCTCTTATTTGAATATCTTTCGTCTAACAGATTCCATGCTATTTCAAAATTACAATCCGAAATTTGAATGGTTTGAATAATGCGATATGCTTCACCTTTCAACGAAGCCTTCAAATACTGCAATTTTTGAGCATTAGATAAATTTGTATTATTTCTTACACAAGCACTGAAAAGATCTTTAAAAGCTATCCATTCTGTAATATTACCACCAAAAGTCGGTAATGTTAACTTGGGTAATTTAATATTGTCAAGAACCTGTTCTGAAATTACACTATTAGAATTATTTTTATTATTTTTGATTTTTTAATATTTTTTCACCTTTAAATTTCCACAAATAAATTTTATCTGTGTACTCCTGAACATTATCTATTTCGTTTTCTAATTCTTTAGTATCTGTAATTAAACTTTCGATTTCAGAATCAAGCTTCCTTAACTCAGTTTCTTTTTGTTTCAATAATTCGACACATTCCTCTAGTTCTATTAAATTAATTTCATCTGCAGTTAAAATAGTTTCAATTTTCTTTACATAATTAGTAACACTCCTGCGTAAGACCGCTCTTTTTGTTTTAAAAGTTATAAGTTCACTCATAATTGATCAATTCAAAAACAGAAATTGTTCTTAAATCACTTAACACTATTATTAAAATGAAATCGAATTCTATGTTGTATTACAACATTGTTCTTAAAATTTAACAACAAATTAAACGAATTTTTGTTCAAAATCCACTTACCTCACAAAGTGGATAATTTTTCACAAAACCATATGCATATTTGCCGTTGTTAGAATACACTTAGAACAGTCACTATCTTCACTAGCTCTCCGGCTAGACTTTTGACCAACAATATGTATTCTATTAAATTAATATGTTTCACAAACTATAATCAATCAACAAATGGACTGTATTCCTACACTTTTATTAAATTACACTTGTCAGCGATGCGAAATAATTGATACAAAATAAGCGAGCCATTCTACATGGCTGTCACAAACACAATTCTATCAATCAATTATCTTGTTGCCACACATAAAGTTTAAAACTAAAGGAAGAAAAGCAAAAGGAATTTACGCTGTTTGCAACAATAAAATGAAGCAAACGATACTCACATAAACAGGGGTATTATATAAAGTCTCTCTCACCTCCTTTCTGCATGCTTTACGTGGTGTAATTGGAAGCATACTCGACACGTATTCGAGAGGTACAAGGTTCGAGTCCCTGCGAGGGCACTGCACATTTTTCTCGTCTGTTGCTTCAACAAACCTAATGACTCTACAACAAACATTGCTAAACACAGATAGATTGACGCTAGTTCGATTTCTGACTAGTGGTTGACTGCATAAGTTTTTCGTGGACTTCGCCATGTGTAACGTAAAAATGAGCCAATTTCCCAAATAATATTATCCACCAATAGTGTCCCACTAGGTAGATAAATACCTTAAGGGAGTTTTGTCAGAATCGCTAGAACAGGTAGAAGGTTTTTTTCTGTCTGCAACATTTTACTGTCATACATATTTTACTGTCTCCAACATTTCATTGCCATATTTATGCGATATTCATGCGATAGTAACGTCATACATATGGCATATTTACTTACTTAAGACATATTTACATTCTTATATCTTATTTACGCTATTCATTATCACCAGAGCTCAGTTACGTAAAGATATCGTTTTCTCATACGTAGTTTGTATGTCGAGTTAAACCGCTTGTTGACCCAAGTTTACGAAATACCCTTTTATTTCAGTTTTTAAAAGCTCATTTTTTTTATTTTTTTGTTTTTTTTTTGTGAGTTATATTTTCTACATTCTCCCAACTGCAAATAGAATATATAGTTGAGCCTGTAAGGTACAATATTGCTAGGAAATGTCGAGCCGCGGTAAGATATCTTCCCCGCAAGTCTATCGAGTTGATCGTCAGTCGATTATCTGGTAGTCTATGGTGTTATCGTCAGTCTAGTGTCGAGTTCATCGAGAAAGTCTCTTAGTGTAACGCGAGAGTGCATTGTCGAGTCTATTCTGAGTGTGTCGTCGAGTACCTCGCGAATTGTAAAATGGAGAGTCTCGACAGTACTTTGAGTTCCGAGAACGATGGAACCGAGTCGGGAGCTGTACTCTAGTGCTTTGCCGTGAAGCTGTCCTCACCGCTATAGCTTGATAGCCTGAAGGCTGTGATGCTGATTGTTTCAGCATGCCTGTCATAGTTTTTCGACGATTGTAAACGTATTTCTGGAGCTGTCCTGAGTAAAACTGGCAAATAAATTATGTTGTGATATTTCATCAAGTATTGTCGTTAATCACTCCAAATCTCACAAACCCGTACGAAACGCAACAATATATTACCTTCTGCCGTGCAATTTAGTATTGCTGAAATATATTTCAGTTTGTATGAATTGCATTTGATACTATTTAATTTTGGACTCGTTACATTCTGCTACTTTATGAATTACAACATTTCTTAAACAAAAAACAAAATTTCATAAAAATTTAATATTTTCCCTAAATTTCCGAAAAATATTTTGGTATAAAGGAGTCAGATATCGATAACAACAAATGGGATCCCAGGAAAGAAATTTTGATTCTAAACCTAAACGTAAAAAATAGTCAAATTATAAATAACATTCAATTCTATATTTAAAACCAGTGACCAAGGATTTATTTTAATTATCTGGTTTGAGAAAAATAAAAATTCAGGGTGAAGTTTAAATCCTTATAAAGCGAGACAGTAAAATAATTAAAAAATTAAAATTACCTATTACTTTGTCCTTGCTTGAGGCAGTTCTCCTCTGTATAATATCAAGGTTATTTCATTTTACATAATGAGAACAATCTTGACAGAATGCCAGCAAGAATTCCATCTAAGTTAAGCGGATTGTCATTTAACGCATTAAAATTTTTATTAACTTCATTTCGACCCATTAACCTTTTCGTGATATATTACTTTTGTTCAGAAATAAATCGCTCTGTTACGTGCAACGAAGATCACTTTTGGGAATATATTCTAAAATAATTCAGCTGGCAAAGTACAATTATATTATCTAGTGAAATTTTAGTGCTCAGATATGCTTTTCAATTTTTATGAAGTTACTTTTAATGTTATTAATTTTTTAAAATGTCACCTGCATAAATTTATAATCCTACAGAAATTCACATATATGGAAAACTATTGATTCAGTGAAGTGCTTCAGTTTCTATTTCTTCATGTATTTAATTTCATTGTTTCAAGTAAAAAAAAAACCACTATACTTTTCAGTAAAACCACTACACTTTTTAGGAAAACTAAAAGCAAAAATTACGTACAGCAGAAAAATAACAATGTGTAGTTATTAACATACCTTAAACTTGAGATGTACTATATTTCTGAAATGCTCTGGAATAAATGGGTTTTTTTTCTAAAATTAATAGTATGTTATTAGACGATAAAGTTCAAATCATAATTTTGAAAACGAAAACTAAATTTTCGATAAAATGTCTAACATTGATGCTCAGGTACAATAATTCTGATTAAAGTAATTTTTAAAATTTTCTACATCCAAAGTAAATATTATTTAAAAATTATTAAGAGTATTGTAACTTTTGATAATATTGTTTGCTTGTTTAAAATGCAAAAAGGCGTAACAGTAAAGAACAAAAATGCATGTATTTCTTACCCATCTTGTTCTTTACTTGTTTGTATTTGCACAACGGCTTACAGTAATTCTTGTTACATTCACAAAGATTCTACAGCAGCTTGGAAATCCTTTAAGTCTCGAAAATATCCTCAAGAAAGTCCTGAACTTTGGTAGCTCGACCTGAGGCGAACAGGCTTAAGGCATGGATGTTTTAGTGGTTTTCCCCGTGGGTAATGTGTATACGAGACAGTTTCCCACAGAAAGTCATCCAGAAAGACATCCCTCCCATCAGGCATATAGCTCTCGAGTGCTTTGAAATAATCAAATAAGCCAACCAAACCTAACCAAGTCTTTAAAAAGATTATAGAACAGAGAACACCCCACAGTATTACATTAGGTGACATTATACGAGCATACGAGAACTCTAGATATAAATTATACTTGCTTAATAAGTTATACTTATATAAGTTATATTACACATATTTTACTTATTACCGTACTACAGACAGACTAAATATATATATATATATTATTCTGGTTAGTGTCATTATAATGTTGTATTGCAAACGTTTGATCACTTGAATAGATGCTGCATTGTGAGGAACGAAATTTATGTTTCTTTGATCAAGGCACAAAAACTTGGTATTCACCAGCCATCTTTGACAGATTTCAGATCATCTGATTCCGTTTTTTTTTACGCAGGCTGTTCTGTGTACAGGCTTTAGATTTTGAAAGAATTCGAGCTATCCAAACTGACTTTACGGTCTATGACAGATACCAAAAGAGGTATTCTACAAATGCTTTAAAGAAATGCCAGGAGCTTTGGACTACATGCATGCACTTCAAATAATCACCTCGAAGGTAACTATTTAAAAGTTTCCAAATAATTACATTTCGCAAAATGTTTCGCTACAAATATTTTACTAGCATGTTTTGTATATCGAAATATAATGCATATTATAATATCTAAAATAATAATGTTTTTCTAAAAATTGAAGAATTTTAAAATGCTGGGTTATAACTCATAAACTCCAACTTTTCATAAAATGATCGCTCAAATAATTCTGATTGAAGGAATCAGTCTTAGATTTAAGGCCATAGTTATTAAAAGCATCCACACTATATTTATATCAAATAATACGGCCAGGTTAAGGTAAACGTTTATCTTCAAAGTAAATAATCACACATAGTTCCATGTAGTTCTTACAGAAACGTTTTCCTGATAAGTCACAATTTTAAACAATAACCTTATGTAGTCTATTAGGCTTTTCGAAGCAGGCGGAAACAGAAATTCGAACTTCGGACATTCCGACCCAAATACACTACCAAGGCATGCGATGGGAAAAGAAAACATTCTTTATGTTCCCCTCATATAAGTGGCGACTGGGAGAAGGGAGAGACATTCGCCAAATCCGGTGATGACGGATTACCCTCAAATACATTTTTAGTCGGATACCACTTGTAAAATGTATCAGGCTTTTCGATGCAAGAAAATCAGCGATGCTGTCGCTAGAATTCGAACTCGAGACCTTGCTACTACCAGCCGGACATATTAACTGCACAATGAAATCAGGTTTTGAGGAAGGAAAATGTTACTTATAACCTGTATTAATGTTATACTTAGTATATTTTTGAGTGATGTCCCTACCCTCCCCCCCGAAGAATATTTAAATATCTAAGAGGATAACTTTGAACACAATAACATTGTTCAAGCCGATACAAGGCAAGTACTATGAAATTTAAAATTCACCTGAATTACATCTGGTGTTCATTTACTTTAAAATAATTTCTCGTCTGTATTATGCCCATATAAAAAGCCGTAATGAGTAGATCGGCCGTTGGAAATATTTTAATTGAATTGTATGTAACACTCTTTTCCGTTTTGTCTTAATGTTTCTGTGATGTCAATATCTCATATCATTATAAGGAATGTGATGTGAAATCTCCATTAAGAAGAAGCTAAAGGTTTCAGAATGAAAGTTTCCAAGTTTCTTAAAACTAAGCAGAGACGAAATTAAAATAATAATGAGATGATGTTGATAATTGTTTCTCCATGAAGAAGATTCGGCACCGAGGGATAACACCTTCGAGTCACAAAGCATTTCGATTTGCTATGGGATGATCTAAATCTGTTGTAAGAGGATATTTGTAACAAAAGACCTAATTTTTGCATGGATGATACATATTAAGCAACACCCTCCTGAACATGACAGTTCTGGATGGGGATTAAATTTGTAAGTGTCGTTCATTCCTCTTTACGCTACGAATTTGACACCTTGAAACTTTCTGAATTATTTATCAAGGCAAAAATCCAAAAGAAGGACCACCAATCTAATTTCATCGAAAATAGTAAAGACCAGCCCAAATGGTACTAGACACATTTTAATTAAACGATTCTCGGGTAGCATTCCAACAAGCTCCAACGCATGCTCTAGCACTGAAACATAAAATGGAAAACGTGTCTCCTCGCAAAAGGTAGAAAGCAGATTTAATTCATGTAAATTTTCCGAATTTGATTGCTCCTTAAAAGATTTCCTTTTGATCAATGCAAGAGTTTTAATTTTTATTCTTTCTCTGTTTATTATATTCAGTGCATGAAACAAGAGGGAAATTTCACAACATTTCTTTTATTAAAAGACATTTATTTTCAAATATTAATTTTTAATTCCAAAAAAGATTATTTTTATATAAGATTAATTTTGTACCAATAATTTAAATTGTGAACCAAAATCCTAAGCATATCACAAACGCTTATAAAATAAGTTTACAAAAATTTTCACATTTATTCAAAATGTCATAGGTAAAATTGGCTAAGTGTCTCCGACAAATGTTATTTTAAAATTTACCAAAAGTATATTTCAACTGTAACAAAATGTTAATGATAGAAATAATGATCACATATATTTGATTATTATTAAGCAAACGTAGTCGTTTTGAGCATAGGGTTTCAATGGTCATATATAAATTTATCAATAATTTGGAATTAATTTTTCATTCATCTTCAATTAAAGTTTGCGAAATATTAATTTCATATTTCTTTTCATTGCAGGTAAGAAGACTGGTAACATTTTGAAAAGGATTCTGATCTGAAAGAAATCAATTATCTTCTTTTTTTAAGGTAACGAATTTGTACTAAAATCGACTAATAATCAATGAAAAAAATATTAGCTTTATAAGCAATTTTTAAACTTTACGAAACTTAACAAAGCGTAACATAGTAGGCGAGAAATGAATTTAAAATATAAAAATAAATGGAATAAATTTCTAATATATAACAAAAGAAAATTATAACCATCATAAATAGCTTTAGACATTATATTTATTTTCGCAGTTTTATTAAAGTAATCAATATTTAAATGTTTTTAAATAGTGACAATGTATCGCAAGTATTAATGATTTTTTCAAATCTACAATAATGAATGAGTTAAAAGCTTGGTATTTGAATGGTAATCTCTAAAGCAATTTTTTGACGTTTGGCTAGAAGCAGCGTGACAGCTAGTAGTTATTGTTTCATATAATAGAGTCGCAAAACAATGCGACTCTATTATATGTAATTATATATTATAATGTAATAATAATGCAATAAATATACTCACATATATTTGACTATACATACTCACATATATTTGATTATTATAATGTAATAATAATGTAATAAATATACTCACATATATTTGACAGTTATAATAGTATTACCAGGTGACAATTATTGAGCTAAATGAAATAAAAAATTAAATTTTCAAAAGCTACTAAGTTCACAATGTTTATTCCAATTTGAAACGTAACTACATGTATTCGGACTTAGTTTATGACATGTTCGATATGTTTGCCATCAATGGCAATGACGTGGCGCAGATGAAGAGCAAGATTCTGCAAAACTCTCTGAAGTGTCAAGATATGGATGCTTTTGATGATTCCCTGAATAGCTGTTTTGAACTCAGCAATAATTTCGGGGTTATTTGCGCAAATTTTGGCTTTAATATTGCCCCACAGAAATGAGTCACAAGCGTTGCGATCAGGCGAATATGGGGGTCAAGCGATTCTCATTCCAGTGACTTCTCGGTATATAGAATGCCCTATTCAAAGTGCTCTTCCAGGACTTCAAACACTCTGTCGGTCAGATGGAGCTGTGCTCCGTCCTGCATGAACCACATCTTTTCGAAATATGGGCCGCCTTGGATAACACGGATGACATCCTTTTCTAAAATTTTGACAGAACATTCAGCAATAACCTTGCCGGCAATGAAAATCGCACTGATTATTCCGCGACTTGATTAGGCACACCAAACAGAGAGACTTATAGATAGCAAAATGGGGTTTTTCAGTCCCGCAAATGCGACAATTCTGATTATTGACGTACCCCATCCAAATGAAAGTGGGCTTCGCTTAACCAAATCATATTCACATCAAATTCTTGTTTGCCAATCATATTGACAAATGCGTTGGCGAAATACAAACACTGTTCAATGGCAATAGCGTTCAATGACTGATGAGTTTGCATTTTGTACGGAAAGTGGTGCAGGTCATAAAGAACAATTTATCGCAAAGTTTCCTGGTTGATTTCGATCTGTTGTGAAGCTCATCTGATCTATGTCCTTGGGATATTTTGAAACTCTGTTCGTGTTTTTTCGATATTTTCAGGCGTTTTCACACTTGCTCGGTAACCAAGATTATCAACATTGTCATCACAAACACTACCATTTCTCTCAAACTTTTAAATCAGATTTTTTACAGTTATAACACTTGGAATGACTGTCTTCAACTTGTACTCAGTCACAAATTTCCTTTGAGCCGCAGTCGGCTGCTATTGTTCGAATTGTAGGTCTTGGCGATGAACATACGCTTAGAAACTTTGACATTTTCAATGAAACATGAACAACAACATTACCACTGCGCATGCTCAAAAAATTCCCAATATAAACAAGTTTATGAGAAATTATTGGTTTCTTTCTTATTCTACACACTCGTGTACGAAAGAATTTGATCATTATGTCAAATTTCTAAAATCATAATGGACGGATTCCAACGGAATTTGTATGAAAATACATTTACGCCAGAGAAAGAGAGGAAAATACATTTACTCCAGAAAAAGAGAGGACATTCAAAAGTCATTTTATGTACGCGGGAATATCAGTAAAGCTCATACTACAGGGATGTCCAAAATCCACGTTGTGGTATCGAATTTAAAATGAGTCTAGTATACGGTATATTCTCCTCTCGCAGCCAGACAGATCGCGCAGCATGACCGTATACTGGACAGGAGGCAGTCGAGGAGTCCCTACGAGAAGTGGATCTGACTCATGTGGCAAGGAAGTTGTGTGGACGAGCGTTGTCGTCTATTAACAGAAACTCAGGAGAAATTGTGCGAATGCAAAGTTTTAATATCTCTGCACTATACCTCACAGCAGTCAGAGAGCTTTTGTCAAACACATACAGGGGCGTGCGGCTTTTCAACATGATGCCTGCCCAAACATTACACCTTCACTACGGAACGATCGTTTTCCCAGAAGACGGGAGGATGGTATAGTTCTCCAGGCACTCTCCAGATACAGTTACCCTGAGATTCAATAGCCAGGCTAAATCTCGACTCATATATCCTCTTGACATGTGGACCTTCAATTTTGCGCTGCTGGAAAGATTCCAGGATACTTTTACTCAATTGCAACTCGATTTCCACGTACGGGGATGTTTCAGCTTTTCATTTTTACCAATGAATGGCAGCAGAAGTGCATATTTTTGAACAAATCAGAGCCACAAGCGTTTTGCAAAAATGGACCCATAAACAATCTTCGAAAACGTAAGTAATAATTAATTAATTAATGATTTAATAATAAATTAATTAATTAATGTTTTAAGTTAATATTTATAGCTACTTAGGTTAGAGCTTTTGTTTAACGTTGTTTTTGGTTCATCAAAGTTATTTTTTGTGGTAGTGCATGGAAATATGTATAGTCCACATATGTGGACGTCATTCCCTTAGGGAAATTAGGTTCAGTTGGTTACTGGTATATTTTTTTAATAGTACAGAATTTCAGTTACTGTTTCTGAAGTTTATGTTTCAGAAACAGCTCACTGATGACATAACTCATTATATACATCTAGTATGCAATTGTAATCTTAAATTATTTGTATTTTACAGGTTTTCTTAATCCTTTGCTTAATTTATTTTTGAATTAAAATATAATATTCATAATCTTGCACTTCTGTTCTTCGATCCATTAAATTAAAGACAATGCATAGCTATTACTGACCTCATTTTATATTTTTAATATAATTTATTGTTTGTAATTACTTTGTTATTTCATAAGTAATAACAAAGTAAGTAAGTAATTCGTAAGTAACAATGTAAGTAATTCATTAGTTGTAAGTGATAATTATTACTTGTAACTGATAGTAACTGAAGGTAAGATGCTTGCAGGATGACTTTGAAAATGCTCCAGAGCCTCTTTCACTGTTGGTTTCGTGTTTTGAATAAATGAGTGTGGAATTTTTTGAAGTAGCTGCCTAAACTAGTTTGTATTCTATTCATCAGAAACGTAAAATTGTAAACACGAACGCAAATGAAATAATACGACTTGTTGGTCTCAATATTTGGATGGGCACATTGAAATTCCGTCAAGCAGAATTACATTGGTCAAGAAACCTATCAATAGAAAGTTTCCTTGAAGCAATGGAAAGAGCCAGACTATTCACTCTGCCCCCAAATCTGCATTTTTTGCAGTTATTTTAACATTTCATGAACATGATCATAAACTTTGGAAAGTACAAACCTTTCTAAATCCCATCAAGGAAAAATGCCTTATTTTGCCTCGTTCACAAAACATTTCTTTGGAAGAACAAATGATTCCTTTCACGGACTGTTGTGCCTTTCGGCTGTATGTCCCAAATAAGCCCGATCCTGTGGGACTAAAAAATTTTGTTGTGTCTTCAAAGGGTGGCTTGGTTCTAGACTTTGCAATTTATAATGGGAAAGGTTTTGTCTCAGCAGAAGATATGTTTATGGTTTGGGAGAGGGTTTTGTGAAGAAACTCGCTACTAGCATTCCAAAAGATTTCACTCGTATCCCACATACTAATAGATATTTTACGAGCGTGAAATGTGCTGAATATTTGTTGAGAAACAAAATTTACCTTGTTGGAACCGTCATGAGCAACATGCTTGATAATACCAGAAACAAATTAAAAACTGACAAAGAACTGAGCAGAGTAGTGGAATGAAATAGCAAGGAATGATCAGAGGTACCTCTTTAAATGGAAGGACACTAAGACTGTAAGGTTTTTATCGACATGCATTAGAAATGAACCATTATCGACGTGCAGAAGGTGGTCGAAAAATGAAAAAAAAGAAAACTTATATTCCACAACCTGGTATCGTAAAGGCTTACAACACATCGATGAGAGGGGGTTAAATTTAAATTCCTCATGGAGTATCGCATGATAGATGCATCCGCATTGCGCAGATATGATAGAAATTTGGTAACTAATAGGGTAACTAATAAGAAGGCCAAGGCTCTCTTCAAGTTCAGGTGAGGTAGAACCCCTCAGAAAACAGACGAAAGTAATTTCTCAACCAGTAAAAGACACGAATCTGGATGATGTAAATCACTTGCCAAGACTCGTGGATAACAGAAAAGCATCTAAACATAGAATGCCAGGGTGCACATGAAGAACAAGAGTATTCTGTACCAAATGTAAAATGTATTTATGTGTATTAAAAACAATGGTTTTGAAAAGTTTCATACAAAATAATGTGCTGATAAAGTATTAGGTAAATTCACTTAAAATTAATAAAACAATTATACGTTAGAATCTTATTGTGAATTTACATTGTGTATCATGTTTTATTTCACATTTTAAACTAATGGCGGCTTTAAATATTAAAATTTGTAAGTGTTAAAATGTGAAAATGTGAGATAATTTACTTATTTAAATTTACTTATCTAAATTTTTTGGTCCAAATCGCCGAATATCGCTCGTGCGATTTTATCTCTCCCGCAGTCACAGCTCCGCAGACATGTATGTGCAAACACGTATTCATAGTATTCGATTCTGAATATTCGCATAATTCTTGGCGGCATAGTTACTACCTTTGGTTCAATACCTGTCGTAAAAATATACAGAATTTGCAAATTCTCTTAATTTTGCACACGAGAGCATATGCAGCAAGAATAAGCTCAAACGATTCCTTAAACGAAAGGCACAGAAACGTCTTGATAATTAATTCTTTTCATTATTAAATAAATGCAGAAGTCTCTACATAGTGGTTAATTATGATGAAAGATATCATAGCGCGTATTTTATCCCTTTGTTTGGCTTTTATGTTCTGTAACTCTAATTTCCGGATGATTAATTTTTAAAGTTGTAGGCCTAAGGTAGGTGCTTTAAATTGTTTCAAGAATTAAATTTAAATCTGCATACCAAGATCAGATTGCAATTTCTTTTTAATCTTATTTTCATTCATAGCAGTAATAACTCCTTCTCTCCCAATAATGATTTAGATTGAGAAGTTTCAGATACTTTCAGTCATGGTCAGTATTGTAGATGGTGATAGGGTGTAGACGGCTAAAGAAGAAGTTCACAGTTTAGGGCGATTTAAATATTACTTTTTTATTTCTAATCAAATATTTTAATGAGCCATCATAAATAAATTGGCGCTATAAGCACCTGTTCTTGAAAGCTATTTCGAAAGCGATAAATTTTTAAAATATGTTACAAGCAGCAAGCGTTAGCAGTAGGAAGCACAGAAGTAAGAGCAAAAATGTGACGCATTTAGAATGAAACCAGGGACGGAAACAAAAAGTTATAGTATATGATAGTTATTTAAAGTTATGAAATATTTAACTTTAAAAGCAAATTATTTCTTTAGTACGAGCACTGAAGTGAAATCGTTTACGAACATATTTTAGTTCAGTCGTATCTGAATTATTTCTTTAGTACGAGCACTGAAGTGAAATCGTTTACGAAGATATTTTAGTTCAGTCGTATCTGAATTTAGAAATTACTTTAAGAATATTTTTAGATGTGTCCAATTACTAGTACTAGAATAAAAGAAACTTCAGCAAACTTAAAATAATAATCATTAGGGGAAATCTCCCTTTGGTCAACAAAATCTTTCAAGTCTGGCTATTTTTTCAGCAGAATAATCAAGTAGATTTTGAAAATGCTGTTGAAAGACTTGCTTTGTTAAGAGAAAAAAAATTACAAAAAAGCTTGAAAATTAATGCAATTTTTTATACTAATTGTATTGGTACTTACATTATTTCAGTGCTTTTGATCTTTTGTTCTTTACTTAAATAATTTCGTTTTCTTCTAACAGGATCAGCACTCTGCATACAGTGATGGACAGATAAGAGAATTCATGAAGACCCCTTCTCCAAATTCTAGGTTGATGAAAATCAAAACTAGAGCAAGAACTTTTCTTCCCTACCAACCTTTGTACGAAACAACAGAACTGTGCCATCTATTTTCAACGAGCATTGCATTAATTTGTTTAGCTTAATTAATTATAAATTTTACTTGATGTCATTTACTATCGCGTGTTTTGTCTGAAATGGCATAGATAGTAGTCAATCTTTGTATGTAAATATTTAATCCAATGCTAAAGAACACAGTTCTTTGGCTTCTCACTATTATTGCTTTCAAGTTATGAATGTCTTATAATATGTTGAAGCCATTCTTGTTTAGGTTACAAAAATTCAGAAAATACTCTAGTTTTCTAAAATGATATTAACACAAAAATACACTTTAACAACATTTAATTATGAGCGTAGTATGTATGCGGAAAAATTCAAATATAGTGTCAGAAAAATGATAGTCTGTTTGGTTGAAAAGCACATGTAAGAGTGTTATAAGTGTGTATACGAGTAGGAAATGCTTTCAGGAGTGGTTTGCTTGAGAAAAATTTGGTTTCAGAGCGTAACTGATGTGTGAACTTTACTTTATGAATGTGAGTAAAGTTACGTTTGGAATGTGTTGCAATGTGCCTGAGTTTGCTTTTTGAGTGTATTTGGTGTGCAGTGACGTACTGACTATTGATTTATATTTGCTTATATATTTAGTGAGTGTTTTGTATGTTTTCTATTTTCTTTGCTTTTTTTGTAGACAATGAAGTGCAGCGGGTGAGTAAAACAAATTCGTTACTTCAGTTTATTATCTATGGCCTATTCATGCTTTCAGTTTTTACTTTTTCTTAAAGGTTTTATAATTATGACTGATATTATAAATATGTTTTATTAATAAAATGCTCCATTAAAATAATTATAAATATTTCAAAAATTTGTTTAACATAATAAAAAACACAAATGCTTATTTTTTAACTGTTAAAATTCCTGTTGTTCCATAAAATAACCTTAAAATCATTTTTTCGTAATATTAGCTTTATTGCATCGCCGTGCATATAATTAAGAGAATAATGTAATAATAACGAAAAATAAATAATAAATATATAAATCTAAAATAATAAATCTAAATAAATATTTATAATAATCTAAAATAATAATCTAAATAAATATTATATAATAATCTAAAATAATAATCTAAATAAATATATATTAATAATCTAATAATAATCTAAATAAAATCTATAAGATAATAAATAATAATCATAAAAAATCATACATACCGATATTATAAGTTCATAGGGAAATAATAAATTTAAATAGTCTTTGAAATAATTGACAGTTATTGTATCCTGTAATGCAAACTGAATGGGATTTTATTTCTCAGCAATTTTACCAAGTAAAGTAATTTATTATAAATTATAACAGCAATTATAACAATCTACAAATAAAGTAAAAAATTATATTTCCCTTAGTAATTAGATGAGAATAACAGGATTAACATGAAAAATTGCCTTCTTTAAAGAAATATTAATCAATAATATCTATAAAATCATTTAACATTTTATTAAAAAAGTACTGAAACACCCAAATATAAATTTTCGAAATTTCCAGTCTCAACCTAAGAGTCTAAGTGTAAAGCAATCTTTAGTATTTTACTAAAAATATTTTTTTTTTTTTTTTTTTTTTTGTACTTTTAGGAAAGTATTCGAGATTCATAAATGTTCATTGAAACTGAAGGAATGTTGAGAAAAGAGCTACGAATTAATAATAATAAATACTGGATTCTTAAAGGAACTTTTAAATATTGATTACTTATTTTAATGCATTAAGTAATGGAGTTAAAAATAAACATTTAAACACTGAAAAAATAGGTAATTTTTCTGCGTCGATCTAATTAAAATCACAGTTTTTTATTCTAAGAAAAAACAAAATAAATAAATAATTGAGTAATTAAATTAAAAATAAGAATCCAACTTTATCTTTTCAAAGCAAAGGTTTTACTGTCATTAGTTGAGCAAATGGTATTATGTTGTTGTGTGTTATAAGTTCGGTATGTAAATAGAATTGTTATATCATGTTTGTTATTAGCTTTCTAGAGTTATAAAAAAATCTCCAAACAAAGATGACGACTAAACTTTTTTGTATATTATTACCCAGAAGGGAATTCCGATTCGGAATCGACAACTTCTACCACCGAATCCACTTCAACAACAGAAACGTCTACAACCGAAAAACCTTCTACAACAACTACAACTACTACAGAGTTGACTACAACTTCAACAACAACTGAAGCAACTACTACGACAGAAGCGATAACAACAACTACAGAAGATAGCATTACAACGACAGGTTCGTTAAGAAGCAACACAAATGCATAAAATCAGGGGTGTGCTGTCAACAAATTACATGCAGATTCATTGTCTGCGTTTGTATTCATGTAGCTACGAAACAATTAAATTTGGTAGTTCATTTTTTTTTTCGGATGCCATAAGAATAATCTTTAAAAATAACGCGATGGAAGTGAAAGTAGATGAAAAAAACTAAATTGGTAAAAGCCAATCATTTGAATATTTTGAATCTCAAATTATGTACCACAGACCCCTAGATGAGAGTAATTAGTCCGAAAGATGTTAATAATTGTTGTGGTCTTATTAAACCCTCTTTAGTAAGTTTCTTTACTTTTATATTTAAAATATTTTACGCATTTGGTATTATATTATGATAGAAAATTTTCTTGGAGCCCATAAAGATATGTTATAGAAAATTCTTCTCAAGTACATTAAATCTTCATCAGAAAATAAATAATTGCGAAAAATAAAGGTAATATAAATAATAATAAAGAACTGGAAGAAATTACGAAAATAAGTTGAAGATTATATGATTTTATTATTTTCGAGAAATAAATATTCTTTGTGAAATTTTTAAGAAAAAAGTCAAAGAAAAGTTAAAAAGCCAAGAGGAAGAGGAAACTAAAGAAATCAAAAGAAAACTTTCAAAACTTCCGAAGTGTAGAAACTGTACATTAAGATCATGCCAAACTGTAAAATGTTTGCTTGAAAAGGGACGTAATGTCAATAATTTGAACCTATAACACCAACAGATATATAAATAAGTTTTCATATTTGAAGCCATGCATAATAAGCCCTTTATATATAAATGGCTTATTCTAAATATGACAAATTCCTTCTCTAATCTACTCTAAATATAAGAAAATTAAAAAGTAGGGATTATAAATTACCTTTCAAGTTTCTTAACATTATATTCACTTCGAGTATGAATAATTCCTTCCGCATTATGATTGTGCGAATAACAAGAATTTCGCAAGTTCTATTAAGACAGGAAAAACGGTTCTCAGAGAAGGTATAAATTTAATCTAATATAAAAACTTTCTATTACGGAATAAGAACATTAAAACAAATAAGGAAATTCAATGAATAGTCAGTTATAGAGATAATTTAATTTTTTAATTTCTCAGAAATTAATCCACAAATGGAGAGTATGGGTTAAAATTCTCTGATTCTGAACTTCTTAAGTTATTAGAATAGTTAAACAGAAGGCAGTAAAAAACGATGATGCTTATCTATATATTCCAGACAGCTTTTCTCACAAGAGCATTCGAGGTTTCCACACTTTTAAGGAATAAGTTCAATTCCTGTAGCTGTTCCTGGGTGCAAAATTTGCCCTCATGAGTTAGTTTTGATTGAGTGTTCAGATTCGTTCTTAACAGCAACGAAACGTATTCTTGACAACTCTCTCTTTCGAGTAATTTCATGGAGAAGAGATTGAAGACCATAAAAGAAAGAGACCTAATGCTCTTTAACATACAGTCATTAAAGAATATGTTTGTGAAGTTTTTGGTTCATGTGATACAGGTCGTTTCTTTTAGTCTTATTGATTCTAGCAAGATAGTTCATTCTCATTCAAAACAGCTAAAAATTGTTGAGTAGAGTACAGGTAGATCTCACGTAACTGCCAAAAGAATAAGGTAGATTAATCGTATACAATATTCTTGCCGTTTTCTGAATGAAATAGATTTTCTTATAATTGATGAAGATACTTTGTTTCTCGTATTGCTTTTATTCACAGTTTAAATAATCAATTAAATGGTAAACCATGCTAAATTTTTAAAAAAACGTTGTGCCTGAAAAAAAGGTTTTCTAATGAATTCCATAACCGAAGTTCTGTGAGCTTTAGATAAACGTATTTAAGATACTTAGCTGCTATGAGAGCCATTAAAGTGCGTCTTGTTTCAGCATCTTACAAAAACTTTAGCTTTACTATTCTAAATGCTATATTTTATTTCCACTCCTTAAACTACATAGTTCTAAAGAAATGCTTCATCACAGATAGTATGAAATATATATTTTAGAGGTAGGTCTTTTGCTATCATGGTGTCAGGTTTAAAAATTGTAAAAATATTTTTCTAAGATTTAGCTATAAAGTACATTTTTATAAAACGCGGGCTTTAGTACTTGGACAAAGCTCATAGATGATCAGTTAATATGTTCTATCTTTTCTGAAGGTCACATGATCAGAATTACCTCATTACTGAGCACAGGTATCAGTTACAGAAGTTTCCTTCTTACTGTTTTTCATTTAACTGTTGACATCAGAAAGCGACAATTTTTGTAGCATAGAAATATAAGATAACAAATTGGAGCATTATGCTTTATTATTACTTATTATCATAAAGTATACCAGCACTTTCTGTTCTGTAAACTGTTCTTACTATACTGAAAAGCCCGTCAAAAATATTTAGCTTCCTTGATTTTTTATATATAATAACTTTATCTTAAAAAAGGACAATCTATTTCTTTTTAAATTATAATGTTAAATTTGTTATACTGTCAGTCAGTTTTAGAAATGGATTTCACATTAGAACACAGAACTATTATAAGCGTAATATTACGCTAGAGTCTGCAAAAAATATGTATAATACTGATAAAACGAAGCACTTGTTTTTAGTAATTTGAAAATAAGAAATAGAGCACGGGATAAAAACAGTATAGCCCAAGACGCTGCCAGCGAGTTACAGCGGTTCCTGAAGATATTAATATGGCCCTTGAATAGTGCATTTTTTAAATGATTAAAATGTATATTTATAAATCTAAATGAAATATGCAGAAAATGTAACCTTCAGATATAAGCAAAAATGTGGAATAAAGAATAAGGAAGTTAACGTAGGGCGTATAGACATAACATAAATTGCTCTTGAAGAAACTTTTCAATGAACCACGCCTATTAAGTATTTCACATTCTTTCTAATGAAGATATTTAAAGCCGTAGCGAATACATAATTGTTTAAAGAATATTATAGTTAACTTTCAGTATGTTTAATTTAGAGTTCTGCTAATTTTCTTTGTGCGTTTTCCATATTCGTACTAATGAGACATTGATTCAGTAATTAAATAGCGATAATTGTAATGACTAAAAAATTTAACGCTTGAATTATTAACTTTTTGTGATTTAAATAAAAGTAAAATGAAAATAAGGAAGAAGTAAGTAAATGTTTTAGGATAGAAATGAACCACTTTAAGTTTAATATGAAAATTAACCCGCCCCAGAATATCAAAATTGTATTGCAGTTAAGAAGCAAAACAGAACTAAAAACACAAAAGAGGATCACTTAATTGATTTAAGAAATGTATACATGTAATACGCTTTAATCTACATATATAACTGCGTTCTAATGCATATTCACATATAAATGCACTATAAGATATATTTGCGTAGCAATAGCTTAGATACTATTTATGACATGTACACCTTTAACTGCCAGGATCAGTTGTCATGAGTTATCAGAATTAAATATATCGTTTAAAATGACTTTCCCGCATGGTCGTTTGTAGATGCTGTTACGCCAGAAAACTGGTGAAAGTCCAGCGTCAAAATCAATTGTGAATACAACTGCGAGTGTAAGTGCAGCTGAGTTGAAAACAACTAATCAATCTTCATCAAATTCTACTCAAAATGTGAGTGAAATGTGTTCCTATATTTTGATGAACGGCGAAGTGGGGTCATCTTTGTTGCATAATGTTAAATGTGATGAATGCTACAACAGCTCTTTAGATGTAATTTCAAAGGGAATGTTTGGCTATTTAACTCATTAGAAAATTGTGTAAGAAGGTGTTCAATTCAACATTTTCTAGCCCACGTGCAAGAGAATGTAAATGTTTTGATGTCAATAAAAAACTTGTAAACGCATTTCTAAAAATTGGGGAAGGTCACGCTGCATTTGTATTACGCCAGAGTCTGCAAAAAATATAGTATTTTCTATGGCTATTAGTATTCATTCAATGGAGAAGAAAACATTTTCAAAATCTTTGCACGGAGAGAAAACAAAATTAAAGATGGCATTGTTCAAATTGCTCAAAACATAGTGCGAAAGAAGCATGAAGAATTAAATATTGACCTTTTAAATAAATCACTTTTGATTTTGACGTTGGACTTTCACCATTTGTCATATCCGCTAAAGAAGATTTATTTTCAGTGTCAGCAATTTTTTCTGGAGTAACAGCATCTACAGATGACCATCTATGATGGAGCTAATTAATTTTAAAAAATCAAAAATTGTAAAACCAAAACTTGCCGATTATAAAATTGCTGGTAAATAACAGAATGTCAAATAATATGGATAATATTATGAAACTTCTAAGAACAGATAACAATTATCAAAATATTTTTAATAATTAGGCAACCACCACAGGAAGTATCATTTTTACCTCCTTGTGTGAAGTAGTGACGTAGCGTATTCAGCTACGGCAAAGCACTCGAGTGCAAAGCAATAATCTTTGAAAAAGCATTTCCCTTTGAAAGAACTGTTGTAGCATTCATCACATTTAACATTATGCAACAAAGATGACCACATTTCGCTGTTCATTAAAATATAGGCGCACTTTTCACTCACATTTTGAGTAGAATTTGATGAAGACTGAATAGTTATTTTCAACTTAAAAACAAAAATGTTGCCAACAGAAGCTATTTATTTAAAACGTTGACATTAACCTAAAGTTTTAGAGACACAATGAAGTCACATGAATCTGCGTACTTTCTTCATCATCAGAATATGATCTTATATAGTATTATGTTTAACGTTTGTCAATGCTATTTTTATTATATATTTTGTAAAAATTACAATTTTGTTTTATTAATTATTTTTATGATTTGAAAGAGAGCAGGGAAATCACTTCGAAATAAAGCTTTTTTATCTCCAGGGGCTCCCGAGACTGGATAAGCTCAAAAACTCTTCAAAATGTAAACAAACGCGCAGAAAGCAGTTACAGTTACGGCTAAGGTCAAAGGTTTGCTCGCAGTAAAAAGTATTGCGGGAATGGAAAAATCGTAAAATAACGCTTCTCATATGTTTGTTTAACATTTTACAGAAATTTAAATACTAGTATATATTTAGTGTTATGAAACAAAATTACAAAAGAGATGTCGGGTATAAAAGTTACAGATAGGAGTTGAAGTTTACCTAAAGGAATTTTAATAACGAGTCTCACTGTTCGAATATCATATCCAAAAATTTTCGCGATTGCACTTCCCACAAGGGCGCCTTAGCGGCTGAGCGGTAAAATCGCTGAACGCTGGTAGTTCGGTTCAACTTTCGAATCCTGGAGAACAGGTTGGCTGGCATGAATCCCGGCATGGGTGTTTTCGTGATTTTCCGCATGTGTAACGTGTATGCAATATTTTATGGATGCATACGTGAATAAAGCGGGCGGTGGGCTTGCTCGCTAGTAATGTATAATTTTATGTTTAATTTATAATGTTTTGGCTTTTATTATGTTTATTTAAAAACAAATAAGAAAATTAGGTCATAAATTTTACAAAACATAACATCAATATCTTTTATACCATTTGCTATTATTTTATAGAACTCGTAGCAGGGTTTGATCCACGAGCCCCGAGGAATCTGTTCACTGTCTTTTCATATAAAAATGTTGAAGAAGCCTGTGATAGGAAATAAAATGCTCTAGAACTTCAGTAGTTAAATCGAGTAACGTGTATAATGCTACCAAGCAAATCAGACGTGCGTTAGAATATATTAAGTAAGATAAGCATCCAAATATAGAACATTTAAACTTGCAACACTTCATTATCAAATAAATAATCCAATTTCTCCTATACTTAAAATCTTTCCTATACTTAAAGTAAAGCTTTTCTTTCACATTTCAATTCTAGAAAAAAGTGAATCAATTCAATTCTAGAAGAATTTTCATATTTCAGTTCACTTTTCAATTCTAGACTCACTTCTTAGTTACCTTATAAGGTATTTCTCCCGCCTTCTTAGCATGTCTTCTTGGTGTAGTGGTCAGCATGCTCGGCGCATATTTGAGAGGCCCGTAGTCCAAATCTCGGCGAGGGCATCGCTCGTTTTTCACGTCTTCTGCTTCCAAAATATCCTATTCTAAAGTCTTTATCCTACTACAACAAAGTATGTTTTATCTAATGTTCTAATATCCTAATGCAACAAAGTATGTTTTTATTTCAGCTGTCATCAGAAATCAGTTACAAAAGAACAGGATGCATAAAGTTACAGCGAATTATATTAACTAAGTTTAATTAAGTTTTCTCACATTTACACTTTTATTACAGCATTGTATTCCTGTTTTGCAAAAATAAATATTTTCTAATAATGACGTTTTTGCAATAAGGGTTAACTAAAAAGAGATTTGCTTTCTTAGTCTGTCGTAACAACGGGAAACTAACTTTCTATCAAAATTCATTTTATTATTCATTTGCAAACTTCGAAAGTTAAGTCATTTGATTAAATCCTGCCATTTCTACACCAAAGCACTTTACATTCCATGGTGGTACTACTTTCTGCGTCTATTTTTAATCTAAATGAAATTAAGCATTCAGTTTTTCAACACCTGTCATTTGAAGTTTTGTCCACTAGAAATGTATTCTAAAATCAGAAAAGACGATTGGGAAACAATCACTTGCCGTCTAATTTGTTTTTTAATTCTACCGCTGATGATTTATAAAGAATTCGCTGTACCTTTCAATGGTAACTATTTAAAAGAAATATATTCATGAATTCGATAGGTTCATTCTTAGGGGTCTGTGGTATTAATAGATTTGAGAATCATTTAACTAATGTATAAACTTCTAAATAATACTACCTCACAAAGTGATATACAACTATTAAGCAGCTTTTCGATTTATAAACATGATGCTGGATGCGTTTTTGTTATAGCAACTGATATTATTTAATCGCTAAATATTTATAAAATATTTTAATGATTATATGATTGAAGAGGAAGAAATATTGTTTCCTTTTAAACAGCAACAGTACATATTCATCTTTTTTGCATTTCATTCACTTATTAATTTTATTTTAAATTTATCCTAATTTCTTTTGATACGAATTAAAATCTATAGAAGCGGTAACAAATATTTTACAAGCGTTTCAAAACCTACTCCTACGAAAACCTACTTTTTATGTAAACATGTTCTTAGTATAATAATTTTCTTCTTATTACAAATTAATATGAAATTCAGGTTTAAAGTTGGATTCTACAGCATACTTACGCCTACACAATGATATCCATTTTAATATACTCTTGCGAAATGTAGAGAATGTAGAATATTTAAAATACATTTTTTTGTTTAATAATTAAATTTTTATGTTTTAAATTTTCTTTAAATGCTTCTAAAATATTACTAAAAGAACATGTTGAAACTGAAATCAGTTAAAAAATTAATTTTCTTAAAATTATCAATGTGCAATGTTAAAAGCAGACTAGTGTTTTGAAAACTTTCTTAATTTTTTATTTATTTCATTTGAGTTTATATAATTAACATGTTGTCTGATATATATATTAGAAGATCTCAATACTGAAATACCAAAGTACATAAAAGAAAAATTTGGCGTATGGTAACATCGGAATGTATAATGCAAGTTAACAGCAACAATTATCTAAAGGAACAAATGATTGCTGATGATAATTGTGCAGAGAAGACTACAGGAGATGTGAAAATGCCAGTGTATATTCAAAGAATAATAAGAGAAGACTGCCTTCATAATGAAATCCTGCAATGAAAGTGGAAAACTGGCTTCATAATGAAATCATGCAATGAAAGTGGAAAAATCAGAAAACAGTTTTGAAGTCTCAAAGCAGGAATGTACGAAACTTATGTTAACCTGATTCGTAAACAGCAAATATTATTAAAAAGTAGCACCTATAATCCGAAACAATTATTAAATTTAATTTTCTTAAAAAGGAATTATAATTTCGTACCCATTGTGGAAATATAAATATTATTATAAGCTTTCTTGAATAAACAAGAAACAAATGTTTATTAATCATATTCGCTTTGCTTTTCAGCAGCATAATCAAAGCCAAGATTATGCGGCGCTAACATATGCCAATCAGATTCCAGGATACTTTAATTAATATTTATACAGATGTTCAGTCTTCATGTGCTATGTATAAGTCCTCATGTATGATCTTGGTGCATAATTGCATTCAGATAATGTTTTAATAGTTATAACGATTGAAATAATTAAACGAGTTTCCGTTTAAAGAAATCCTTTTTCATATTGAATTGGATAAGTATATCAACTTTTAGGAAAGCAGTCAATTCAGAGAGTTTGCAAAATTTCTCAAATTATGATCCACATTTTTAATGCACAGGAAAAATACCACTAATGTTGTAATGCAAGTAATATTCAATTTCACCTATCTTGCGTTTCTAATCGGCTTATTTCTAATTTTTATAGAATATTTCTAGAACTGCAGTTTAGTTTCTATTTAAAGAGAGCATAAAAAGCTCCCTTCTGAAATAAACTTGCCGCATAATCTTTAAAAAACGCTGCATTTATATTTAAATTATAACATTCAAGTATATTACTCAAATAATTATTCTTCATTAGATATTAATAATTGGCACCTTATCATATGTAGTTCAAGCATGCTCAAATAATGATTGGTAACTATAACTCGTATGAGTTTAATGATTCATTACATTATTATCTTGAAAGCGGTTGTTTAACCTTGAAATTAGCAAATTTTAAAAATAAAGTCTCCATATCTTTCTCTGCTTATAAAATTTAATTCTTTTAACATTTCAAGTGAAATCAGAAAGAAATCTCATTTTAGATTTGCTGAGATACTGTAGACTGTCTTCAATCTAAGCGTTTCGTTCTATGATGCTGCTTATCTTAAACCAATATAAAAGTTATAATTTCTTTCCCCTGCAAATGCTTGAGAATTGCAAGGTACATCACGAACGGGAATGGAATGTTTCCTTTATTTTGTGTTACGGATGTTTATTTACTATTCATAAAAATTAATTTATGTTAATTTCTTCGCCAATTTTGTAGAACCAAGCACTACTTCGACAACAACGACAGAAATGCCGACAACGACCACAACAGAAGAACCCACAACGACTACAACCGAAAAACCAACGACAACAACAACAACTGAAGCTGCTACTACTACAACAACTACTGAAAAGCCTACAACGACTACTACTGAAGGTATAATAGATATTTATTTAAGACTGTAGCTCCAACATAACGATTAATTGAAGATAATGAGAAGTACTTTTATATTTGAAATATTTATACTGATAGGGACAAAATATTAATTTTTAAAATGGTAAAATCAAATTTATGTTAGAAAGTGTATGTGCATGAGATTATGGAACAATCGAGCAGTTTCTGCTATATGTGCTCATGGTGTAGCTATCAATAAATTCAGCTAGCCATTGAAAAAACCTCGGGTTCGATACCCAGAGAGGAAATGATTTAATTTTCAAGATTCCTGCTCGTTGGTGAGAGCTATATGACTTTACATAGTAAGTGAACATTTGCTTCTATTATTTAAAAATTATATGATAATTAATTGTGGCTCATATATTCTGTACAGATACTATAAATACTGTACTACAAATATATCTGAAATCATACTGTGAAACATTTTGCTTACTGTACATTAAATACTGAATGAAAAAAAGAATGCAAAAATTAGTGAAATTTAATTCAGTAAAGTATAGAAACAGGGAATATGTAATATGAAACACACACATAAGTATATACGCATAATTTTAAGCCTTTTAAGATTATTTAACTCTTATTAGAATATTTAATTATTTATTGAATTTTCTTACGAAACTTTACGTCTTTGTATTTAATATGTATAAGTTTGTATTTAATATATATAATATATTTAACGTCTTTGTATATTTCTTTTATCTTAGCAATAACACTTCTTTTTTCATTAAATTGTTTACAGGAGTTTAAAAAATTTGAAGCATGAAGTACTTGTAATTATCGCAGATAATATTTTAATCTCAACATTCAGTGGTCGAATATTATAATAAACAACAGTTAAATGGTACACGGAAAAACAGTTGCCGGTTCTTACTCATTCTGATATGCTGAAAATGAATATGAGATATAAAGTTTCATTTGCATGTTAATTTTGTTAGTGCTAAAGAATGAAAGCAAATTTCGGTTCGCAGTTGATATTGGAAAGCAGAAAACGGGAATCAACTGTCTCTGTACGAATATTCTTTATTCTGAGGAAGAAACGTTTTTAGAAAAACCAGTCTTCAAAACCGGGGTAAATTTGAGCACGTAAATTAGTGCCTGAGAAACGGAAAACAGATTTCCGCAAGACATAGCACGTAAATTCACTTCCCAGTTTAACCGATTTGAAAGGAGATTACATTACTTAAATTAACGAATAGTTTATTGGAGACAGTTAGAAATAAGAAAACATAAATTGCTGTTAAAACGCAAAGGCTGGGTGTGAAAACATGAAAAATGCAGGACACTGCCCTCCGTAAGCAAGAAAGGCGATTTAGAGATGGCAAAATTAATCTTCCTTAAAAATAAAATTTCAAACTGTAGACTTTCTCTAAGTGGCATTTGAAACTTGATTTCTAAATTAATATATTTCTAATATAAAAGATATATTTTTTAAAATTTTATTTATAGCACTATTTGTATACGGTCCCAAAAGTTTAGTTAATGAAATTTCGGGTACTTTTGAGGATGGAATCCTCCTTAACCGTTCAATTCTAACAGTGAACAATTCTTTTCACTTAGGCTTGCATATCTCAAAAATAAATAAAATTAGAATTCCTTAAAAGGTATAGGATAAAACGTGGTTTCATATTTAAGAGTATTTTCCGTGCAATTTTAACATTGTATTTGAATCAAATATAGCCAGGGCCAACTTAAGCATAATTCACAACTATCATCGACCATACTGAAAATCTTTATATATTTACATCATATGGGATGAAACAATTCTTTTAAAATGGAATCCATTTTTGCAGATTACATCATCCTTTATTTTTATCAACAATTAATTTTGCCTTTTCTACACTTCACCGCTAAAATATAGCAATTCAGCCTTGTATACTATATTTCTCCCTACAGAAGATCCAAGCTAATGTATTTTAGCAGAAAAAACTGCAACATTTATGAAAGATTAGGTAAAACTTAAAGATTTACTTTAGGAAGTGATGAGTGTAGATAGAAATTTGAACGAACCTGAGTTACTGTTAAGGGATCAATAAATCAGAGGTTTCTGTTAGACCAAATATTAATCTAAGTACATAAAGAAAATATACAAAAATAAGAAACTAGACAACAATAAAAATTTTGGCACAATAAAATACAGCCAAGAACTATTACTGCTCCTAAAAGTGCATTGAATATGTTAAACTGGACTAATTGCTTCCTTATGTATATGTGGAACCCACCGAATCCAACAGTCAAAACCTCAGTAAAGTTTTCGGTTCATGAGGTGTTTACATTTTACTTTAACGACTGAAGTAAAGTTACAGAACGAGGTTTTCACACACGGCGAAATTAACCGTAAGGGGAAATTTCATAGCTTCAAGGGAGCAATAAGATCAGCTTTTTATTTACCTAGTTTTAGTTTATGAGTATAAAAAGCTACTTTTGTTCAAGACATGGAGGTCTGTAAATGTATAGTGTCCATGTGGGCATGGGGCACACTAGATAAGCGGCGAGCCAAAAGTTCTCTCGAGAGGTTGGTGATTGGGAAAGAGGGGTGGGAGACCCTCGCACCCGTACGCCATGGGTGGTCTCCAAGAAAATTGGGAGCAGAATTGAGCAAAGTTTAATGTCACCTGTATGGTGTTCAAGGCTCTTGCCAACGGCAGACGCAGTATAGCACTTCTTGCCACGATGAATTTCGTGGACTTGTGCTTATGTTACTGTCAGACAAGTGATATAAGTCACAAAAACAGCAACAGCTTTGGAAAGGAAGGGAGGAATCATAATGTAGCTATAGTGAAAGTGGTGAATGGGAAAAAACGTTTGAGAACCCATACTCTAGAGTAGCGGCTCTCTACCTTTTGACTAACGCATACTATCTAAACAAAAAATGAAAAACTTTAGTACCACCATTACATTTTACAATGATTATATTTCAATTTCTCGATAGAAATATTAAAATATATATATATATATTGTCATTTGCACAAGCTATTGGCTATTTGGATTAAATACGCACACATAAAAAATATTAGACTGAAAATTGGTTACCATTTTAATTATCAGAATTTAAGTTAAAATACTTTATTTCTAAAATTTAGTGTGAAATTTGGGCCTGTTTAAGAGGGAGAACAATTTCTTTTATCTGGTCTTATTTGACTTAATTTTAATCACAAATTAGGATCCTCTTTCAATTTTTTTGTTCCGTATTTTTTTTTAATATGACATAGAATAAAATCATTGTCAACACAAACAGGTTGTGCAAAAAGGCAATAAAAATTCAATAGCTTTATTTGAAGTGCCTTTAAATTCTTTCTTTCAGTTCAGGCATAAGTTAACAAATATGGTATTTTTGAAACCTTCAGTTAAGAGTTTGATCACAGGAAATTTCTATCAGTCGTTCGTTTTCTTCGCGACATAAAATGTCAGGTACGTATGAACAAAATGGATTTCTAATCCAATATTCGTTTTTATAATCCTCGGGAAAGTGCGTGTTCAAAATTTCTGTTCGTGTTTAAAATTTCATGTATTTTCTGTTAGAAAACTTTCTAAATGTGGTGAAAAGCTTAAAATATTATTATTCAATTCTTTGATTATTAGCTCGAGTTCTTTTATTATAATTGCATTTATTTTATTTCTAATGGTAAACAAATTAGTATTTTGTCCTTGAAATCCTAAATTTAGGTGATTTAACTTTCATAAATATCAGCTAAATATGCTAAAACGCACTAACCATAATTCAATAAACAAACAATTTTATGTAAATCATCACTTTTCCGTAGTCAATCCCTGCCATTTTACGATTTTGAAAATCTAGGTTTGTTTTATTATTTTTTACAAATATTTAAATACACAATGTAATACGAGTTTTTTGAAAACAAACAACGATATTCTCAAATCGTGTAGAAAAGTAAGGAAAACAAAGCAACAAGAATGCAAAATACCTGCTTTAAAGACAACAAATCGACATTAAAAAAAATGCTGCTAATTGAAAATAGAGCAATATGAACGCGGAAATGGTGGCAAAATAAAATGTAGACATTCTAATAAATCGATCAATTCTAAAAGAATTAATGAGATTCTATTATCTTTTTATAGAAACGTATTTTCATTTAATATTAAATACAACATCCATTTGTATTACTCCTTCTAAATACATCATTTATGACAAATTTTGTTATATCTATAGCTAAAAGAATATTTTTGAAAATATAAGTCCTTGAACAAAGCTCAGATCGCATAAATTTACGAGTGTTAGAGAAACAACTTTAACAGGATGTTATAGTATTTAATTTTTGAATGTAATAGTTAAAAATACTTTGTTCCTTTGCGTACCACCTACGTTTCGCTTGAGTACCACCGGTTGAGAACCGTTGCTCTAGAGAATACTAGGTGTACCATTGCATCCGTCATAGTTACGAATATAAGCAATGCAAATGGGTGTGATGGCTACTGTAATTTCTTTAAAGCAGAAATCTTTATATTTTATTTTTAACAACCAGCTAAAGCCTTCCACAAAACTTCTGCAGAGACATTAAATTGGCAGAACAGATAAGAACAGATATCTGCAAGTAAGGACAGAATAAAGGACTCTTTTTCCCCCAAAAAATTATAAAACTGATTTAAAATGAATTCTAAAGAGAATTTTTCGTGGCATCTGTGCGTACGTATCTATGTATGTACGTATGTGTCTCACATAACTCAATAACGAGTAGCCTCAGAACGTTGAAATTTTGTATATATAACTGCTCTAACATGTAGATGTGCACCTCGTATTTTGATTGCAATCGGCCGCACCAAATATATATATATATATATATATATATATATATATATCCACTCTCTTACTCGGCTCAGTGATCTCAGTTTCTTTTTTCTTATATGTTTGTAAATTGTGCATGTTTTGCTTTAAAACGATTGAATTATGCTGTTCTTATCCTCTGGTTAAGAACTTATTATGCTGTTCTTATCTTCTGGTTAAGGTTTTTATCCCTTTAGTAAATCTGTATGCAATATGTTTGGTTAGTCTTAGTGGCACTTAAACAACTTTTAAATTGTTGATAATTCCAACGGGCTGGCTGCATGGGCGTTTTCGTGGTTTTCCCCATGTGTAACGTGTATACGAGCCAGTTTCCCTTAGAAAGTCCTCCACGAAAGGCATCCCTCCCCTTAGGCAGATAGCCCTAGTGTGCTTTGCCATAATTAAATACACCATATTATAACTCAGAATGCACAAAATTTATATCATTTGAAGAATTATCTAATCATTGGCACATGTCCTATTCAAATACTTTAATAAATCTAGAACAATGTATAAGCAAAGGAAATAAAAAAGAAACAGTTTCTCACAGACGATTCAGTATTTCTCATTCAATTAATTCAGTTCTCACTTCGCGACAAGACAAAATGCAGGAAAACTTAAAATATCTACTATATAAAAATTACGAAGTAAATCTTAAACACTATTTCCTCGAGTAAGGATTAAGCATGATTTAATTCGCAATAATAAATGAAGGCGTTATCTTTTTCTTGCGAAGCTTAGTCTCTCTAGATTGGAAACAAATCTACTATTCTGTTGTTTCAAATTTAATTTGGAATTATCAACAATTTAAAAGTTGTTTAAGTGCCACTAAGCCTACTAATTTTTGCCATGTTGGGCATTGCTTGTTTACATTTGAAGCAACAGAATAGTAGATTTTTTGCCAATCTAGAGAAATTAAGCTTCGCAGTAACAAAGATAACATCTTCTTTTATTACTGCGAATTAAATCATGCTTAATCCATTTTGAAATTTATTCAAGGAAATAAGTGTTTAAAATCTACTTCATAATTTTCAACACAGACATTTTGAGTTTTTATGCATTTTTGCCTTGTTGCGATGTGAGAACTGAATTAATTGAATGAGAAATACTGAATCGTCTGTGAAAAACTGTTTCTTTTCTTTTTTGTTATTGTGCTTTGCTTAATTTCTTTTATACATCGTTTTACATTTATTATAGTATTTGAATAGAACATGTGGCAACGATTAGATAATTGTTAAGATGTTATGAATTTTGTGCATTCTAAATTAAAAAATGATTGAAATGTAGCTTTGTTAAGTGAACCTAGGGCCAGAGTGTGGCTCTGGTAAACAAATATAGTGATTTTTAAAGAGTGCATTTATTTTATTGTGGTTTATGCGCTATCGACGAAGTAGATTTAATTCAATCCAATAACTTTAAATGAAGTGCAAGAAAAAATGCGTATAATTTAATATTCCGTACAAGGAAGTCACATGTGGTGCACACATCAGGATTTTTTACTTCCTTGTACGAAGTAAAAAGGAAGTATTGTAATCGGGAAAAGTTTCAGGCAGCATATTTCAACAAAAATATCCATTTTGATCGCTACAAATGCAATTGAACGATGTTTTTGAGTGACATCTGTACATGAGGACAGAATAAAAGACTCTTTTTCTCCAAAAAAATTATAAGACTGCTTTGAAAATAATTCTGAATAGAATTTTTCGTGCTATCTGTCTGTACGTACGTATGTATCTCGCATAACTCAAACACGAATAGCCTCAGAACGTTGAAATTTTGTATATAGGACATGTAGATGCGCGCTTCATATTTTGGTTGCAATCGGCCGCACCAAACATATATAAATGTATTTATATATATATATATATATATATATATCCCCTCTGTTACTCGGCTCAGTGATCTCAGTTTCTTTACTCTTATATGCTTGTAAATTGTGCATTTTTTGCTTTAAAAATGACTCAATTATGTTGTTCATATTTTCCGGTTAAGGTTTTTATGCCTTCAGGAAATCTGCGAGCAATATTTATAGAATTCTCAACAATTTAAAAGCGGTTTAAGTGCGTTAAGCCTAATTTTTAAATAACATGGCAGACATGTTGGTTTACATTTGAAACAACAGAATAGTAGATTTGTTTCCAATCTAGAGAGACTAAGCTTCGCAAGAAAAAGATAACGCCTTCATTTATTATTGCGAATTAAATCATGCTTAATCCTTACTCGAGGAAATAAGTGTTTAAGATTTACTTCGTAATTTTTAATATAGTAGATATTTTAAGTTTTCCTGCATTTTTGTCTTGTCGCGAAGTGAGAACTGAATTAATTGAATGAGAAATACTGAATCGTCTGTGAGAAACTGTTTCTTTTTTATTTCCTTTGCTTATACATTGTTCTAGATTTATTAAAGTATTTGAATAGGACATGTGCCAATGATTAGATAATTCTTCAAATGATATAAATTTTGTGCATTCTGAGTTATAATATGGTGTATTTAATTATGGCAAAGCACACTAGGGCTATCTGCCTAAGGGGAGGGATGCCTTTCGTGGAGGACTTTCTAAGGGAAACTGGCTCGTATACACGTTACACATGGGGAAAACCACGAAAACGCCCATGCAGCCAGCCCGTTCGCGGGATTCGAACCTCGGACCGAACTACCAGTGTTCAGCGTCTTTACCGCTCGGCCGCTGGTGGGCGAGTTATAATATGAACGAAATATAACGCTGTTAAGTGAACCTAGCGCTAGAGTGTCGCTATGGTAAACAAATGTAGTGAATTTTAAAGAGGGCATTCATTTTACTAACAGAAAATTGTATAAATTAAAAATTAAAAATGCTCTCAAAACAATACAGTATTAGGATGAAATAACAAGACATTAACCACGGAAAGTCGCAGAATTAAATAAACGTGAACAGATCTGCTTATAACTAATTTTTGTTATTTATGATAATAAGCCTATTAAATGTAGTAAACTCTTAAATGATTCTTCTAAATTAAGTATAAGATATGTAGTAGAACCTGCCATTAAAAACATTCTCAGAGCCAAGGCTTGGCTTTTATCAACGAGTGTCTGCTAAACGTGAGTGTACTGATCTCCTACTTCAAAGGTCCAGGCATTCAAAGAACTGTCTGCTAATGAATAACATCTGTCAAGAAGTGAGTGAGAACCAAAGTTCGACTGTATTTTATACTTTTCTTATGTAAATGTTTTATAATTACAGTATGTGAACATTTCACAAACAAAAGTATTGATTTTAAAATAATTATTTATCTTTAATGAAAGAAAGGGTAATAATATCTAAGTATAAATAATTTACGTACAATTTGAGGTGTAATACTGCAGAAGTTTAATGAGCACAAACTGGAAATATTAAGATGGAGTGGGGTACGTTTGTAAAGGGGGCAACTTACTGGTTGCCCCCTTTACAAACGTACTGGTTATTTTATTATGTACCTTTACAAACGTACTGGTTATATTAACTGTTGTACTGGTTATTTTATTATAATACGAGCGAAATTTCTCTGATTAGTATGTAATAATCTACTACAAGATAATATGTGCTATTCGACATAGATGTTGCACAAGAATGACTGTGTTTTCCTCGCTTAAAATGAACCAAGCATTTTACAGCAGGCTTGTTAATAATTTTGCTCTTGCTTAGTTGCACATGTTATGTATAACTGTACAACATACATAAATTACAAATGAACTCAAACATTAGTAAAACAAGTGTGCAATAAAAAAGTTATACCTAGTTTCAACAAGGTTTCACAGTATTATTATTTCAGAGATACGTTCTTGCTCAATTTTGGAGAAAAGTGCAGAGTATTTGACATTTTGTTGAATATCCTATTAAAATGAAAATTTAATCTTAGAATCTTATTTAAGATTAATTAAACAGTAATAACTGTTCAAAACGTTTGATACCTACAATGTTTAGTATTTACATACGACACTGAAAATACACACATGTTTTAATTCCATCTTTGCCCAAACCAGTCTGCACTTCATTTTATATAAGAAAAATGACTTGATAAAAGTTATTTTACATTGATTAGCATGATCCGAAACAGTTTTAAAAAATTCATGCAATTTTAAATGCAACTAATGTAGTTACTTGATTTCAGAGCCGACAACAACAACTGAAGAACCAACTACCACTACGACTACAACTGAAGCGCCTACAACTACAACGACAGAAACTCCGACATCCACCACTACAAGTGAAGCACCCACAACTACAACAACAGAAGCTCCAACAACCACTACTACAACTACTACTACAACAGAAGCTCCAACAACCACTACTACAACTGAAACACCTACAACTACAACAACAGAAACGCCGACAACTACTACTACAACAGAAGCACCTACCACCACTACCACTGAAGTCCCAACTACTACTACAACTACAGAAATAACTACTACTACTACTACTGAAGCTGAAACAACAACTACAACTACTGAAGCTGCAACAACAACAACTACAACTACTACAACTACAGAAGCTCCAACAACTACAACTACTGAAGCTGCGACAACAGCAACTGCAACTGCTACTACTGCAGAAGCTCCAACAACAACAACTACGTTAGCTCCTACAACAACAACCACAGAAGCAACTACGACAACTACTGAAGCGACTACAACAACCACTGAGCCAACTACAACAACCACTGAGCCAACTACAACAACCACAGAAGCAACTACAACAACCACAGAAAAGACTACAACAACAACTGAACCAACGACGACAACTACCTTAGAACCAACAACGACCACAGAACAAACTACTACTCCTGGACCTAGAACAGGTCAGAATAACCTCTTCTTTTACAATTATTGATGTAAAATTGCTACGCTTTAAGCAATAATGGTAGTACTTAAAGGTTTTAGGAGTAAAATGCAATGAAAATTTAAAAAATGCAAACATAAGACTATAATTTATAGTCAAGATATAGGAGATATATAGGGCTATTGCTAGACATTTTACAACTCGAATTATTCTCTGCATGTCTTAAATTCTGTTAACCAGTGCCTCCGCTAGATTCTGAAAATAATACCTTTCAAAAATTAGCTGTTTGTTGCTTTATTACATTCCAAAAAGCGACTAAATTCCGCCGCTCAATGCAGCCGCGCTGTCTCTAGTACTTGGATAAAATACTTTGGATAAATTACTTTGATATAATTAGGTTATCAGTTTGTCCAGTGTTATTTTATGGGGTCAAGACATAAATGCTGTCTTCCTTCTTCGACACAGAAGAATTTAATATGCTTTCCACATAGTCTGTGATAGTTTGAAACTAACACAGTTATTCAAATATATTAGGATGTTGAGTATCAAATTCAGGTAATATTGATTTTCAGATTTGTTAAGCTGATTATTAGAAAGTCAATATGAATTCAAGAACAAAAGCTTTTATCCCAAAGATTAGAATTTTATACTTTGCATATTAAGATTTTTTAAATTTGTTTTCAAAACAAAGGGATGTTAAAGATTATTTTAAACCGGAACGAAAGCATTTTAAAAGCCATTCGATTATTTTATATCCGCAATATAATGTTACAAATGCTACCATAATTAAATGAAACCTAAAATAATAGCAAACCCTACACAGATGTTATAGTACACTAATATACATAAGTATGCAAAATTTAATTGATCATTTACGCACTGCAGAGTATTAAAGATATTAAATAAAATATATGTATACTACATAATGCATTATAAATTTACAGCAGAAAATTGCCAAGATATATTTTCTCATGAAGCAAAGAGATGACTGTGCGTCCTATACACAGTGTATTACGTATAAAAATACCTGTAGATGACATAGCACTTCGTGGTTTGGCACTTGAAAAGGATGCATCATTTGCCTCCTCAATCCATGTTATAGCCTAGATTTGAAATATACGTTTTTGGATTTTGCACCTTAAACACTAAGATTTCGGAAGCTTTAACTGTTTAATCCTCAAAAAGGTAATAAGGTAATGAAAAACCGCTCTATCGTATAATAGTGGTACAATATTCGGAGCAGTTTTTAAGCTGTACTCCTTCAGCAAGAAGAAAGGTCGGATGTACTGTTTCACTATAAATGCGTTGAGCAGTTTCAGATTATTAGGTTTTACAGTTCTAAAATAGCAACTTTTATTCCACAGACAAATGACAGATTCAAAAAATGTTAACTGACAGGAAACCAATAATGCGTTTTCAGTAATCTGTCTAGGGAAACATATCCGTATTTTAATTATTTAAATATGACCAGATTATTCGAACGCTTATTTTTTCCTTATTTTTTCTAACAATACCTTTTAATTAAGAATAATTGAATCAGGTATTACAGGATAATTTATATTAGAAAATTATAGCGAACTTTTAAATTTTATTCTTAGGATTTTATTTAAGAAATAGGAAACGGAAAAAAATTAAATCATATTTTTATCCTAATTTTGAAATAAAATACTGGATATTTTGTTTATGTGGCACTTGGTACCCGTTTTGTAACTTATAAATAGTTCATATTGCATAAACGCTCCATTTCCTTTTTACGGTAGCTCTTCTCTATTTTTTTATAATTATAGACTGTTTAACAAATTATTTAATATCCGTTAAACTGACGTTCATTTAAACTGATAATATAACTTAATTCAAGTGTTATGATTTGATCGATACGTAGAAGAAAATCATGCGCTTTAAAAAAGTAATTAATAATTATATGTCTGTCACAAAAATAAAAACATACATAAAATGCAAAACCGTAAGTAATTATTTCATAATCGTAACGTAATTTCTAGAGATGCACGAAACTGTAAAACTGCCAAATTTGACGATTTTATGGATAATCTGTTTAAGTGGCCCATCGATAGAAACCTTACCCTACTAAACATTTCAACATATATATTTTACCTTAATATCGACATACCTTTAAATGAAGTTAAAAATCAGCTATTCATTTTTACAAAGTTATTTTAGAACACAACGATATAGAATTTAATAACTAGCTTCTGCTAGAGAAGCAACTGAATAAAATTACGCTTAACCATAAACACTCGAAAAATTCAGTAATATTTTTTTTAAATATCAGTTCATTCTTACCTTTAAATGATTGGAATTATAACGAGTTTGTTATAGCGAGCACTGCATTTTGACAAACGTTTATAGCACAGAATGGCATAAATCATAACCAGAAATAGAACATAGAGAAATATTGCAAGTGGAATGCAAAGCATCAGACAAATTTAAGAGATATATTCTTAAGACCACATTGTAGTTGATTTTGTAATCTACAAATATGTGATCTAGATATTCCTAGAAGAATCCTAAATATATAATACGAGGAGGAAAAAATATAAAAATATGAAAGCTTTCAGATTTTACATTACGCCCCAAGGGGGTGTTTTTTTTATCGTTTTGTGTGTTAACTGTATTTATTAAATATCATGTCTTTAGAACTTAAACCAAAAAATTCAATTCAACAGCAATATTGCAAAATAATTTTAAAATGAGCAGATCTTAAGAATTTCCGATACACAGTCTCGCGCGCTGGAGATAAAAATGTTTTTTTCTCGTACAGTGTTGCCATTCCTCGCTTTGAAATCGTTGAGTTTGTTAATCAAAAATTATTTAATGTCTGATAAAATATGAAATAGATAATAAAATAAATTCCAAATTAGGGCTTCCAGATGCTCATATTCGGTGGAGGATTACGTTATTCAGAATTTGATAGCTCTACCGTTGTTTTATCACATACATACATACATTTATGCAGATTTTTCATTATCTAATTTCTTTAAATACAGGTCTGTAATATTTGGTGGCAATAGTTTGAAAAGTGAATCAAGGCAAAATGCCAAAACGAAATCAATAGCCCTTCTGGGCTAACGCCCTTTGAAATTAAAAAAGTGAAATAAATAATGCAACTTTCACCAGTTTGTAACAAAATAATATGGAAAATTAAAAGCAGATATTTATAAATTCGTCAAGCTTTTCAAATTTCTTTACAGCGTTTTATAATGCTATTTCTGATGATATATTCCTATATGTATCGTAATTTCATATGCTGATCTCATTCGATAAGTCATGGATGAGTCATTTCCTCATTCGATAAGTCATTTACTTCTTTGCAAAGGAAATTTTTTATTGTATTTCTTTCAATAAAATATGTTTGTTTTCATATTTCAGGAATATTCTATAATGTGACAGGAGATTATCATTTCCCGAATCTTCTCCGCAATGGCTCTTCAGTAGACTCATCAGACATCACTATTTCTAATGGACCGCTGGGATTCGGTTGGGCTATTGACTTAGACGATAATGCTGGGAACGAAACCAAGCAGTGCTTGAAAATGCGTGTCATACCGAAGAACAAAAATCATGAAAACTGCTGGTCTCATCCTAGTAACTGCCAGGAAGGAATGTCAATGAGTATCTGGGTAAAAATTACTTTCAAGAGAAACGATCCTGAACTTCGATACATATATAGCACAGGTATTAATCAATGCGTATAATGGTAATTTTTTATTTAATTACTATTATTAGCCTGAATATAAATATTGCTAAGAATGAATAATGTTGATAATCATGATCGAATCTTAGATTTTCTTTCAACGTATTCAAAACCATTAGCCAGTTGTGGATCATTTCTAGTAAATCATGAAACTTGAATAAATTTATCTTGAATCGGATTTTTTTCTTCTCGCCGCCCAGAAGATATAGTGGTTAGGGAAGCCGACTGTGATAGCAAAAGGCCCGGGCTCGATTCCCGGAGAAGGTGTGATTGTAGCTGTCCGTCCTTACATAGGAGGCAGAGGTGGTCCACCTTTTAGGTGCCTCCATAATAAAATGACCACCATAAATTTAATAGAATCTTGTTAGATGATATGACCTGTCATATGTATGAGTGCTGTTTTTATATTTTGACTAAAATAATGGTATAAAATCCCATTACTTTGTGTTTTAAACTCAAATTGAATACTTAGATTTAAAAAATCCTTTTCTTTCTTTTTTCTTTCTCTATACTCTTTATTTAATTATGCATTGTTTCTCTTCGAGAATAAATCCTTGTCTTAAGTTTACCCAAAGGATTTGAATGCATGATAAACGACACTCATAGGGCCAAATGAGATATATATAATACTTATATAAAAAATGGTTGAATGGGAGGACAGGGCAGAAAAACTTTGATAGAATCAAAACCCAAAGCAAATTTCAGCTCAGATAGCTTGTGCAGTTTGAAATTAAAAAAAAACATGCTTGCAAACTTTAGTATGGAATGTTACATTCCCTCAAATATCTTCCACGGTTCTCAGATTATCTTTGTACTCTCTCTCTCTCTCTCTTTTGGATATCCTCAATGTTGAGAATGACATCATTTCACTCTCCAATTAGAGCAAATCAAGGACTGACGTCGCGTGGTGAACTGATACGTTGGAATTCTTACGAACGTGTCGAGTTACGTTCGAATGTGTCGAGTTCTTGGCAACTAGCTGTAATCAAAAAATATTTCTATGCTCAATGTAGGTTTTCAAGTAATTAAACTGTGTTTTGTTACAATGTGTCATACCCTCTCTCCATTTTGGACTTATCAATGTAACGTCAGGTAGAGGTAACGAGGTAACGTCAGGTTCTTTATAGTGTTGCTTTTTCAGAGCTAGTCTTCATTGGAAGACCGCAACATAATACCCGGAATACAGATACAGAAGACAAATTCGGAGATTTGATTATCTACAGATACGAGTTTTATCAGTTTTTATTATGAACTGAATATTCTAATACATCCAGTAAGCACGAGAACAATTATTCAGTTTCTATATATTGTGTAACTAATTTATTTCTAAAACTGAGATTTCCCCAGATTAATACTAAATGCTATAATTTTTTATAAAATAATAAAATACTGAAAATTTTATAAAAATTTCTATAGAAACCTGAAGTATGCATTCGTTTAGTTTCCTTTCCTTATCATTTTACTATCAGAAAGCTGAAAATATTATAAAAAAGGAATTCATATTGGGATTTGAAGTAAAGGTAAAACTAAATTAACATTATTAGCACGGAGACCATTCGAAATCTCAGAGTTCATGATGAATAATATCTCTAATAATCAATTAAATAAATTACAGTATAACCTTCATTAATACACATTATGTCCCTATTGATTTAGGAGCAGATAGTGATGGAAATGAAGGTGTGGCGTTATGTTTCCGAGGTATATTTATGTACCAACTTGTGTCCACTGGGCAAGAGATGTGGAATCTTACAGTACCAGGACCGGTTAAAAATAATACATGGTATGAAGTTGGAATGAGATGGTCCAGTGATACAGGAATTGAGGTAAGGAACGTTAAGTTTTGTAATTACTGGTGAACCGTTTTCAGGAGAACTACTCACGATTCCAGGTGATAGTGATTTTCTGTCAAAATAGATATTTTATACAGGTGATGTTCAGCGCCAATAGTTATTTATGTTCTGCTCACTAACAGTGAGGATCTTTCTTGCAAAGCAGTCGGTGCGAAATGGATTATTATAATTCATACAGGTAATGAAACGAAGGATTTGTGATGATTCCTAAAAGTAAATAACGAAACGAATAGAATTTATGGACTAGCATTTGCCTGAAATGATGTAGCTATTAAATATCAACACTCGCAGCAATCATTTCTTAACTGAAAATAAGATCAAGAGATAATTATAGAAATGGATGAAGAGTTTCAATTTTAAACTATTTGTTTAAATGTATTATAAGGTATTTCTCCCGCCTTCCTAGCGTGCCTTCGTGGTGTAGTAGTTCTGCACGCTGGGTCGGTATTCCAGAGGTCCGTGGTTCGATTCCCGGAGAAGCCGGTTGTTCATTTTTCATCTTGCCTGCTTCCAAAAAATACCTAATGTCTATACAGTGGCGCCCGAATTAAGCTTTAACAAACTTAAAATAATAAAGAACTATATGAGATCTTCACTGGGGCAAGAAAAACTTTCAACATGGCCATTCTCTCTGTAGAACATGAATTAAGTATTCAAATAAGTTTGAAAAAATTATTAATGATTTTGCTTCTTTAAAAGCAAGGAAAATTAAATTATAAATATGCTTGAAAAGTTTATGCCATACAATTTGAGCAGATGTTTTATTTATACTGCTACTATAAGAGTTATTCTATTTTCACTTGAAATAGTTACTTTTAATGGACATAAAATATATATAAATATAGTTAATTTGTTCTATAGGTATGATTATCTGTATATATATGCATTAATGCATATATATGTATGTATTGCGCGTTTTTGTATAATGATATGTTTTCAAACATCATTCAGTATTATTTATTTACTCTCTCCCCCTCATATAATCTTGCAGGGGCGCACATTTACCGCTTTGTCTCAGGTGGAAAAATATGTAGGCACGGTTCTAGCCTCTACACATTATTATTTATTATGTTACGGAGTCGTATCTTCTTGGGAAGCATACACTAAGCGTAGACTCTGGAAGACTAAGACAAATTATCGCTTTGTCTTGTAAGAAAATAGATAACGTAAGAAAGATGTAAAAGAACCTTTTATTAAGAACTAAAATAGTTACCAGAACGCACTTCTTGTGTTTACCAGTCAGCATTTATGGCGTAACTCAAGAGTTAAGAAATTTAAATTAAAACTAAGTTAAATCTTAAGTTAGCCCAAAAGGCTACACACAAATGAATAAGTCGCAAGTTGGCTCAAACAAATACCGATGCTATAAACACTGTTGGCAAGAATAAAGCAACGCCGAAGATTGACTGCTATCGTAGAATTTCATTGATTAACCTGGCCTTCAGCAGACGAAACATGCTCAGACAACAAACTAAAAAATCATTTTAAATAGCTCCTCTTTCTAGCTTATTTGAATACAAGCGAACCAAAATTAGCATTCTGGCAGGTAAACGGAATAAGAGAATAATAATCAAGATACTTAATATAAAATAACTGGTTAGATAAAATAAATAAATACCTTACAAATGTAATTACCAAGCTCAGTTCTGTCAGACTATAAGGGATATAATTGATTAAAAAATTGGTTAGAACTTGTAATTTTTGCTTCCTTTCGAATTCTGCTAGTATGTGATAAGTGAATTCTTCCAGAGAATAAAATCTTCTCTAAAATTCAGTCATTATTGTGGAGAATTTTTCATATCGCGCTCTTCTTAAAATTGTATTGAGTTTTAAATGTCCGAATCAAGGAATGAAGAGCAAATGAGAGTGACGGGGAAATAATTGGTCTACAAACTGAACAGAGACGAAAATATGTGATTAGAAAAGTAAAATACTGCAGCAAAGACAGAAACGTTTTTCGATACCTAATGTTATGACAGAAGTAAGTTTTCATTTGTATGCATAACTCAAAAAATATATTCATGATTTTATATGATTAGGATTTTATATTCAGGAATATTATAAGTGACACCTACATTGATTTATAGCCTTTAATTTTTGTGTATCATGGTTATAGGACTTAAACAATGCTGGTTAGATTATCTTGATCATTAGTTCCAATTGTGCTGAACTAGACAAGGGATCCCCAAACTTTTTCCTGCGTCTACTTCCTTGCATTTTCCTCTGTAACATATAACATACAAGGTAATCAAAATACAAGTCCTTGCGCATAAAGTTGACAATTTGATGAGTATAATCAAATATTTTGAAAAAATGCTTTATTAGACTTATGTTTTATTATTTTTAATTTTACAAATTTAAACAAGTTATCAAACACAAAATCAAACAAACGAGCAAACAACAAGAACAAAATTTCGATTTTAATGAATGCGATTGTTGCGTGCGTTTAATTTATTGATATATTGATCCCTTTTTTATATTTAGCATAAAATTGTTTGACTTAATTCTTAAACCATCTCGTTCAGAAATATTGAAAGTACTTCTTGTTTTCTGCTCTAAGTTATTAACATGAATAAAGATTGCTTGCGTTGAGTAAGAAGAGGGAAGGTCATTGGTCTGGTAATAACTTTAATTTTGATCTTTTTCGTTTGACTTCGTACTTCAATTTGACTTTTTTATTTGGCTTTTTGAAATTCCATAACTTTGCGCACCTTCATTTTTTGAATAAGACTTGTTCTATTTATACGACAAAACTTTGCATTAATAAATAATTATTATCAATTTTAATAATAGATTTTTTTAAAACTAAGGAGTCTTAATTATGCCGATCAATTGCTGATGCATATACGGCTATCGACCTCTTGACTGTCATAGACCACATCTAAAATTTCATCGACCCACTGTAAATCTCTGAATGAACTATGATGAAAGTTCTGCTTATCTTTTTCCAACATTACTAAATACTCTAAAGAAATTCTGAAAGTTCGAAAGTTGAGATACGTGGAAAACAGGACTTGAGTAAAATACAAAACTAAATTTAGTGTGTCAACAGCCCTTAGTGAGCCATGGCCTGCAGTGCCCTGATATCTGCTTTCTTGACCGTGGGCTCTGGGGTGCATGAGCATATATCCTGGACAAGTGGTCAGCTTGTCGCAAGAGCCCCGGTGTTTAGATCCTTAGCGATACTCATTTTATCAACCGACGTAAGGGATAAAAGGCTAAGGCATGTTGCCCAGCCCAGGAATCAAATCCCAGATCTGTGGTGCTGCTGCGCGACGCGCTAGCCATTGCGTCACCGGGCCTCTAACTAAAGTACAAATCAAATCAAAATAGAAAAATTAAGCTATCAAGCATAAAGAACAAAGCAAAATAATGGCCTGGTTGTTTAAATATTTCTAGTTAGGTAGCATGGTGGAGTACGTTACATTTGGAAAAAGAGCAAAAAAATAAATAAATAAATAAATAAAAAATTCAGCTTTTTATAATTCTATTCATTGCTTATTTTTACATAAAGATTTTTTTGTATTGCTATTCCTAGAACAAAAAATCTCATTGCTATGAAAATATTTACTTCTTCCATGTATCTTTCAGAATAAACGAAAGAATGTTTCCGTATATATTCAATAACTACATAAGCTTTTTTAAACGTTCCTCTTACTTCTTATTTATATATATGAGCGATGTGCATATAATTTGTAGAAAATCCAGCAGTCTTACAAAATATTATTAAACGAATTATTAATTTTTTCTTCCCTCGCTTTTGACAATTACTAAACATCTACCTTTTAGATGTTTATCAACGCTGAAAAAGTTGGCCATGTTTTGTACCCTGACGAAGTGAATCCTGCAAAGTCAAGAACCGGTGACATGGAGTTGACGGTTGGTTGTCGCAAGTTGTCGGATGGAGAATATGTTGATTTTGCATACGGAGAATTTGATGAACTAACAGCATGGATGTGGGCATTAGAAGAAGATCAATATCATTTTTACCTCGGTGGGCACGGTAAGCCGAAGTCAAATTCATTAGTTATTTACCAGTTAATAAACGATTTTATTTTACACAAATAAGCAGTAAGTATCAGTATTTAACTCTTGCAAAACTGTATTTCTTCCATTCTGAGATATCATTAGGTGAATACATTTAATTTCAGTATCGCCAAACGATAAAATGATTGTTTCTGAGAAAAATAAAATAAACTGCGTGAAACACTAAAATACATCTAATAAATATTATTTTAATAACCGACTTTCATTATTTATAGTCAACAACATGACTATTAAATTATTAATTTAAAAATAAAATCTTTATGTCAATAAACTTCGGAATAATTATGAGCTTGAGAAAATTTGCATTTTAACTATAAAATGGAGGGGAAACGAGTCCTGAAGCTAACCTTTCAATTAAGTGCATAAAGAAATATCTATCTATCTATCTATATATAGATAATAGATAGATATAGATAGATATTTCTTTATTATATATATATATTAGTGTGTGTGTGTATATATATATATATATATAAATTCAAAATAAAAGTAAATAAAAGTAAATTAAAAAGCCTGGGACTATAAACGCTAAAGTAATAAACCAATAATTCATAATAAGTTATAATAAGAAAACTTTCCTTCTCCAAGGATTATAAATTAAATTTAAAACTATGAATGAAAAACATTGTTAGTCAAAACTTTAATTAGTATTTAAAATTAGTATTTTCAAGACCCCCTTGCTTAAAAACATAATGAATTTTCATCTTGAACGCTCTCGGCTTCTCTTTGCTAACCAGTTGCTGCATTTCTCATCTTCAAAAATACAAAAGTTCTAGGACTGGGGCCTACTGCGCCTTTTTATTTGTGCTGGCTTTAAAATGTTTCTCAACGAGAATAAAAAGGGAATGTTGATATCAGACATAACTGCAAGCTTCGTCTTTATGCATCAACACCTATCTTCAACCTTTCAAATTATTCTATGTGTATTATATATTCATTACTAATTATTTATGATAGACATATTAATTTCATTTTAAGTCTAAAATGTCATGTTCGTTTTTCCTCCTTTCTTTTCGATTTACTCCATTTCGTGGAATTCTCTATGAAGATCCGAATTCAAGTAAGTAATATACTTTTTTTCAGAAATGTATTTTCTTTGTATTTCTTTCTTTTCAGAAAGTATTTCTTATTATTCTTAAATTATATCATACTTTTTGCTCTTGCTTTCTATTTCTTTGTTTATCCGTTTTTATAAATTTAAGTCTCAAATAATTGTTATATTTTCAGCTTGTGACCCAGAAACACATCCACTCCACTGTGAAACTAATATTAATAAAATATTAGACAGAATGGTACGTATATGGAATTTAATAATATAATTATTTAAAGGAATTATAATTAAATGTAAGTTGTAGGGTGCTAACTACGCAGAAGTCTAAATTAAGATAACGAGTCCTGAAGCTTAAAATAACCTTTCAATTAACTCTTTAAATTCAACAAAAGGCACCATTTGTGCTCTCAATACAAAACTCCTCCACTTGAGGTTATTTAAAATAACATAAGTCGAAATTTCAATTCAAGTATCTTAGACTACACAAAATGGCCTAAAGTTGCCTCAAATAATTAACGATGGGTTAGTAACGATGGACTTGCAAATAGCTAAAGCCGGAATAATCTCTGGCAGAGTTGGCGATAGGATGTAATCTATAAACGAGGCTGTCAAAAGATATAACCCTAAAAGCTTCAAAACCTCGGCTTAAATACTCTTACAACTAAATTGTTCTATGGTTAGATCTACGGGAAGAAGAAGTTATAGTAAAGGTTTAATTCATAATTGGTTAATTAACGTAAAATCTTGACAAACATAGTGCAGATTAGTGCTCTTTAAAAATAAAACATGAAATTATTACGCTTTGCAATTAATAAATTGGGGGTCTTTAGTTTCAGTATCTTAATTGTCGCTCATGTGCAGCCAGTTTTAAACAGTCAGTTCAAAGTTAAAAATGATGTAACACACCTTTTAGGAATATGTGAGAAAGCCTTAACCGTGTTTATAGTCATACATCTAAAAGAAACATCACAGTGAAGTTTCGCAAAATAGTTTCTTGTAAATAAATCAGAGACGAAATTTTTACAGCGTTTTATCTCTCACTTGGAAGCTGAAAACATTGCTTTTAGAAAAGAATGATATTAAGGTGTCTAAATTTCATCTCTGGCTAGATGAATCTAAATTATTAGTACAAGTAGCAGTTTTAAACTGAGCATTCTTGTAGGTTAATTGCTGACAAATAGAATTTAATAAATAAAAAAATAACATAATATCTGAAAGCTTGCAGATTTTTTCATTTACAGACACATCCATGTTTCGAGAGGGGCACATGGGCTACGCTACATTGTGCTAAGAGTGCACTGGTGTGCAAAACTTAAGCAACAGCAGGGTTTTTTGCCATAACTCCACGAGAAATCAACTGAGAGACATGAAATGCAGAAATGAAGGAGAGTATTATGTACGTAAAGGATGACGAAAGCATCGGAGCTGAAAAAGGAATACAATGCATACGGTATGGAATCAAACAAAAACAAGCTTTATTGAACGCATAGTATCGTGACTCATGATTGTCTATCCAAGAGGAAGAACAACAAGCAGATGTTCCTTAATATGGGATATGCCCTCCCTCACTGCAATGGTTGCTTTGCACCATCTCCGCATACTCAGAACCAGTTGGTGCAACATTTCTTGCGTTAGGAGTGCCCATTCCTCAATCAGCATCTGTTTGAGTTGTTGGGTGTTCTCCGGAGGATGTAAGCGTGCTGCAATGCGTCTCCCCAAAGCATCCCATACATGTTCGATGGGATTTAAATCTGGGAAGTACGCTGGCCAATCCATTCGAGTGATATCTTCACTTTCCAGTAGCTACTCAACAGCAAGAGTCCGATGTGGCCGTGCATTGTCATCCATAAAAATTAAGTCTGGACCGATGGCACCTCGGAACAGACGCACATGGGGAAGGAGTACCTCCTCACAATAGCGATCCCCGGTTACAGACCCTCTGTCGAAAACGTGGAGCTCAGTTCGCCCGTTCAGCATAATGCCTTCCCAGACAAGAACTCCAGGACCACCGTTAGGGTGTCTTTCCTTGATTGTTGGGATAAAACCAGGTCCCGACCTCTCTCCAAATCAAAACGCGTTGAGAATCGCTTCATGTACTGAAGCGACTTTCATCCGTAAAGAGGACACTACTCCATTGATCAGTTGTCCCGTTTTTGTGCTCTCTGCACCACTGTTAACGGTGGCGTCGGTGGCCAACTTTCAACGGGAGGCAGCTTTCAGGACGGCGGGCGAATAGGCCCCCTTTGTGAAGGCGTCTGGCCACAGTAAACCGCGACACTTGTCGCCCCGTTGCTGTACAGAGTTGCTGAGCAATGGCGCTTGCTGACTACTGTCGGCCTCTTTTCGCCTGCAGGACGATATATCGGTCATCCCCTGCAGTTGTCGTCCTCGGGCGGCCACCACCAACCTTTCTAACAGCTGTACCTGTGGTTTGGAACGCTTTCCAAGCGCGCGAAACGACACTTTTGTTGATTCCGAACTCTGCAGCTACACTGGTGACAGTGTAAGGATCCTAAGTTTTACTAACGTTTATTTTATTTTAAATCTTTACTATCACTTCTTATTTTCTACTTCGGCCAGAATTAAAGTTTAACTTATTTATGCAATTTGTCTTGCTAACGCCAAGTACTTAAGTTGTGGCTTTTTGCCAAGCAAGAGAGAGGAAGGCGTTATTAGAAGCAGGCCGCTTGCCATAGTAGTTTTACTCGGTTGCTGGTTGCCTTCAAGGCCAGAGGTTTAATCCTCGTGATAATTTTAACGTAAACTCGTGATAATTTTAAACATTTATATCGTAGTGTTAGCAGTTCTCTGTACTACATACGGCTTTTTGTTAATTTACGGCCAATCTTGGAGTTAGGCACTTGTTTATTAATCCAAAGTTAGTTTAGTTAGAGTTTAGTTAATATTTTTATATTCTTACGTTCAGACCACAAGTGGTTGGTCTCTGTATTCCGAAGTTCCGGAAATCATTGTAAAGAGAGAAAAATAAAGGGTTTTGTATACCCTTCCTGTGTGTATTGTCTACTTCCCAAATTTATTGAACATAGCTTTAGTAAGCTCCCTGTTCCGAGTCAGGATAGTTAATGTTTCCAAAAGCAAGTAAGGAGGAATACTAATCCTGCTAACAGTACGCCCCTCCTCCAGCATTCCGATCATTCTTCCACGTCTGAAGTCGTCCAAGTGATTTCTTCTAGCCATATTTCACGAACTGACTCACTGGCACTTGCAGCGAATATGTTGAATTGCGTCTCTGTCCTTCCTTTTATTCTACTTTTGAGCTGCGCGTCCCGACAATCACGCGTTTTGTGTACGCTCACGTCGCCTCTGACGTTTCGTTCCTGATATTTGCGTACGCATGACGTTCCTACTGACTTACGTATTCATTGTACTGATCTCCAGATCTCCTTTTCTGCAATTTCATGGCTATCTGCTAAATTTTCACATTGTTGCTTATGTTTTGCACACCAGTTTATTTAAAAACAGCAAGTCTGTAGAATTTCCGATAGACAGTCTCACTCGCTAGAGATAAAAATGTCTTATTCCTTGCAGGGTTGCCACTTCTCGCTTTGAAAGTTTCAAGTTTTTTAATCAGAAATTCATTAAATTTTAACAAAATATGAAATAGGGAATAAAAACAATTCGAAATTCCTAATTCGGACTTCCAGGTGCCCATGTTCGGGACTATGTAATTCAAAATTTGATGACTCTAGGTACCTTTGTTTTTTCACAATTTGAAAAACATACATACATTGATGTAGATTTTTCTTTATTTATTTTATTAAAATATAATACAGAGTGATAATTTCTGGTGGCTACAATTCGAAAAGTGATTTGGCACAAAATGCCGTCTTGAGACTAAGAACCCTTCTGAGCTAACGCCCATTTGGGCTGATGATCTTATTGTTTCTGTAAACAAATTGCTGCAGAATATTTTGCAGTTTTCCTGCTTGTATTAAGAGCCATTACTGTTCATTGCTTTTGCGCTAATTTTTCTTTACAAATATTTAGAAAATGAAATTTCCTATCAAAAATGAATTTGTGCATATCTTTTTTCATAAAATTTTCGATTAATTGTGTAATAAATTTTTGATTAACTACTTGCTTTTGACTTTCCATAGTTGCAATTTGTTCTTGGGATAATCAAATCAAAAATATTATTTTCTATAAGCAATGCAGTTAAATGAGGAATAATTTAGTTTATCTGAACTAATTTTTATAAACAGGTTTGGTAACAATTATTTTTCAATAACCCGTGTTTAGGACTGCTTACATAAATTTGAAAATATGACGCATTTCTTTTGAAACTAATGTTATCAGAGTACTATAGGATTCTACTTTTAAATATGTTATGATTAACATTAAATGATTTCAAGGACATTATATCAATATTAACAGCTAACGACGGCTAACTAATAAATAATAGCCAAATCCTTTTCATTACATTTAGCGCTTTTAGTCTGTTAAACTGACATTTCGCTTGATTAGAAAATGTATGATGGAAATTAATAGCGCATCATTTTAAAAGCATTGAAAATTTCAATAGAAGTGAAAATGATAAAAGTACAAAGTTTAAAAAAGAAACTCACCACAAATCGTAAGTTATCCCAAGTCTCTAGTTTTGGAAATGCGGTTTTAGAATATTACTGCTATCAGTAGTAATGCACCGATAAATTTACTATTAATATAATGACTAAAATTCACATAACGTACACTGCAAAACGTTTTCATAATTAATAGGAATATTTAATGCAACCGCTTATAACGTTGCTTTAAAGAAAATCTTTATATACTAAGCTAGGTTAATTTGACGTCATCGCGTCAAGGAAGGTTTATACTCTCTTGGATATAGAATTTACAGTTCGTTATTTGGCATGAAAACTGCACTGTGTCACCTTTTCTTTTATATTGATGCACTATGTATAGGATTTTATACAAAATAAATAAATAAAAAAATTCTGAAAGCTTTCAGATTTTATATTACGCCCAAAGGAGCTTTTTTTCATTTAAACATGCATACGTGCTTCGAGAGCATTTGGGCTAAACCTTTGGGATAAAAATATTTACAAACAGCACTTCTTAAACATTTCCTATAGACAAACTTGCGTGCTGGAGTCAAAATATTATATTCCGCACAGTGCATTGCCATCGCTCGCCTTGAAATCGTTGAATTTCTTAATCAAAATAAGTAAACTGAAAATATGAAATAAATAGTAAAACAAATTCGAAATTCAAGGTTCGGGCTTGCAGGTGCCCATATTCGAGTGGAGTACTACGTTATTCAAAATTTGATGTTTCTAGGTATCGTTGTTTTTTCACAGTGCGAAAAACATATATATATTCGTGCAGAATACTAATTGTTTAATTTCGTTAAATATAATACAAGTCGATAATATTTGGTGGCAACAATTTGAAAAGTGAGTGATCAGACGCAAAATGCTGTTTCGAGAATAACCTCCATTGGGTATTATACCAAAGGGTTACTAACCCAAAATGCCATTTCGAGACTAACCCCCTTTGGGCTTATCTGATATCCTGATTCTAAGTCCTGTTTCTTCACCTTTTAAACAGTATTTTACACTGTATTCATACTTAAATGAAAATACATGTAAAATGTTAAAATGCATAATCATGAAAAAGAAATGAAATTTTCGTTTTTTAAAGTATCATAACCGAAAATATTTTTATTTACTGGGGGGGGGGGTATTCTCTTTCTTAAACTTCTACTATGATCATAAATATTGGCTAGTTATGCCTCTAAAATTCAGTGCTATTTACTGACTGAGTAAAATGTATTTAAAATTTAAAATAGAATTTTCTTTTACCTAATCCACATGTTAAATTTTGTGGGCATTATCTTCAGCTTTGCAATGGTAAAAGAAAACCAAATAAAAATCAAAGTACGGTCTTTAACTGAATTTTTAAAAATATTGAAGTTGATGGATATTCTTTTTAAGATCAAATTAAGTGTTTTGGTTTATAGTTTTGAATGGAGGTTGAAATGCTTTTTCATTACAGGAAAACACTGGATTTGACAATCTCGAGGGATTAATAAACGCTTTTGATCATTTGAAAGCTCTTTCTGAAATAGAGAAAGATCCAGCAGGTATGGCTTGTTTTTGTATATCTTGTATATCTATCAGAGCTATTTGTATTCCAGAAAGTGTAAAAATTTACTGAATAGTAAGTGTTCTGTTATCCTATGTGAGCTCAAAGATTTCGAAATGAAACTGTCTTTTCGAGAAATAATATCATACATTATCCGTTGTTCATTCTGAAATTCAAATTACAGCCAACAATGTCTTTAAAGTTACGATAATGAAATAAAATGAATTTGAAAGCAATTTTCGAATATTGCAGTCAATTATTTTGTGTAAAATTATTAAATATGAAAAACAGGTTCCAAAAATTAGGAGAAACTGTTTTAGGAAAGTAAAAAAAAGATATTTACAATATTAAATTTCTAGTTTGATTTGCAAAAAAAAATTGATTATAAGGCTGGAAAGTTTTCCTTGTGAAATGTTTTAAAAGTTAACGAAAACGTTAATTAGGCAGTTATTATCTTTGTTTGTAATAATACATTATTCAAAGCATTATCTAATTCATGCTAATGATGCTAATGAATGTTAATGTCAATGAATGCTTTCTTGCATTCTAATTCAGAATGCAAGAAGAAAGAGGAAGCCATCAAGGCTATTCTGTGGAATACACCTTAATACTGTCAAATATATTATATTACTATCAGAGTATATATTCCTTAAACCATAGTCTGGTGCTTTAGAATAGGCTTTTCTTCCCACCAAACTTGACTCATAACCATGGCAATAACGACTGCAGAAAAAAGGTCGAATCGTCTAAATTGATAAAATCCTCTAATTTCCTCTGTGCGGTGATGATGACACACGTTACAGTCGTAAATAAGAGAAGGGTTGCTAAGATCTTGAAGAGCTTATTTTTTAGTAACAGACAATAGCTCTAGAACTTGTGGAACAATTATAAATAATTCCAATTAATTATTAATTGAAGGTTTATCAAAAGAGCAATTTGATATTTTGGACATACTGGCCAAGTGTTAGATGAAAAAATACCATTTCAATAAAAAAGGCAAAAATTTAATCTTGAATGTATGAGAAATAAGATTTCTTAATGCTGGAAAGAAAGGACATTTAATAAAAAATTCAGTACATTGAATTCAAATGGCCATTTTTAGCACGGAGAAGACCCAAAGAAAACATTTCAGTAATTTAATATAGCTCCAACAGAAGAGGAATGGCGGAAGAGGGAATTACAATATAGGAAGAGTTTCGTCTATATTATCTAAAGCATTCTTAATTTTATTGACGATGTTATGAACAAGTATAACAAATTTCATATTTTCAAATAAAATTTATATTCCCAGCATAGAAATCTTAACCTAAAAAATAATCTCAAATTTTTCAACGCAGTGAATAATGGAATTAAATACTAAAAACTGCTTCTTAAGTTCATATTTAAATTCTATCGAATATACTAGGTAAACAATAGAATACAAAATTCAAAAGTAAGAGACAATGGAATAAAAAATTCAACAATGCAGGATGACTAGTGAAACGAATAAGACCAGAAATAATAAAACTCTAATTGAGTTCATATTCAACAGATTAAACGTGTTTTGAAATACTATACTAATGCAGAGAAATATTATAAATGTATTTTAAAAGCACAGATACAACAGTAAGTGTCGAGCAGTTTGTGAGACGATTTTCTCACTCCAAGGGCAAAAAGAAATTTGAATCCAATACTACAATTTTTGTGCAAAATATTTCAAAAGAAAAAAAAAAGACTAAGTAGAAAGTCAAAGAAAACCGTGATTCATCTGAAAGTTTCGGGCATTTCCAAAACTTTAAGATTCCAGTTACTTGTATGAAAGAATGTAGGGTAATGATGCAGTATGTGAAATACCGCTTTTAGCTGGTAAGTTATTTTTTAAATGGCGCTACTAAAATTAGTTGTTTTAATCATTTAATTTCGCCACCATTTCATAGTGTTTTCTAATTTGAAAGTACTATCTATTAATATTACGAAGTTGTTGCTATTGAATTATAAAGCTACTGAATTTAAAATTTAATGGGTTATAAAATTACACAATGGAATCATTTTCATTTATGTGTTCGTAATTATTTACAATTACTTTCATATTTCGTAATATATAGGATTGAAGAATTTATTCAAACGGGGCCACTCCTGCTTTTGTTTGAAAAAATTGTAGTTTTGACTTTAAAAAATTGGAAGTAATTTAAATTTAGTGGAACCAAAAGTTTAATAGATTACTAAGATAATTAACAAAATCTTTTTCATTTATGTATTTTAATTATCTATATTTTTAATTTCATATTTAAAAATAGCATTTAGTGGCGCCAATTATAGTTTTATTGTTGAAAAGCTAATATTATATTTTGTATGTTTCAAAATTACATATCTCATGTTTTGCTACTCTAATGCTTTTTCTCTCAAAAAGGAATCTCTGTCGCTCCGCCTTTTTCTTTTTGAAAGGGGGAATGTGTAAGATAAAAAATATGAAAGCAAACTTCTAAATTTGATTCCCTATAACCTCTTTTATTTCTGTTTCACTTGGAAACTTCATCGCTCTATCCTAAAAATAGCGCTGTAAGTCTCATCTGCGTCATTCAAATTAATCATGCGATCTTTTGTAACCCTTAATAAGGATGCCTTATTACCAATCACCGAATTGTAAAACAAAACTAAAAACTGAAACTTTTGACTCCCTCCCTTCTTTCTATGAACTGATGCGTCACTTTTTGCTTGCACTTTCTTCTTGACCAGACGTCTTTCTGCAATTATGTGTGTTCTGCTATATTCACTTTATTTAATAATATCAAAATTGTAAATGTTCTTTAATGGGCACACATGTCAAGTGAATTGTGCCACAGAAGGGGGAATTTAAATAAATAAAAGGAATTTAATCCGGCTCGACTGCTTCTTCTTCAATTCTGGACGCTCTAAGCATCGAGTATCTACGCAATTAGTATTTCAACGCATCTACGTCTCAGTGTTCTTATTTTAGTGCCTCCAAAAGTGTTCTGTCATTACATTCTTGTGCCAGTTCTAATTATGAAAAATTCTACACCAGTTTGTTAAGTTATGTTCACAGTGAATAATGGGAGTCCTGTTTCATCGGAAATTTTAATGCAAGTTTGTACCGCATTCACGATCAACCATTCATGTCGTGTCATCCAACCACAATTCCATTACAATAAAATGGAGCAGCCGGTAGGATTCGAACCTATGTGTGGAAACCCCAATGGATTACCGGCTGCACCATTTTATTGTAATGTAAGCACAAATTCTGAAAGCACTATGTGCAGAAATCCTGATGGCGTAGATACTTGACGCTTAGAGCGTCCATCCATTTTGAAGGAGAAGCAGTCGAGCCGGCTTAAATTCCTTTCTTATTTAAATTCTCATTTTGTGGCCACAATTCACTTGGCACTCTACTCGTGCCTATTAAAGAATATTTACAATTTTTATATTATTGCCATAGAAGCGAATATAGCAGCACACACATGATTGCAGAAAGACGTCTGGCCAAGAGAAAAGCACAAGCAAAAGTGACGTATCAGTTCATAGAAAGGGGAGAGGGAGCCAAAAGTTTCAGTTTTTAGTATTGGTTTTCAATTTTAGTGATTGGTCAAGAGACATCTGCATTAACGGTTACGTAAGATCGCATGATTAATTTGAATGACGCAGTTTAGACTTACAGCGCTATTTTTAGGACAGAGAGATGAAGTTCCCAAATGAAATAAAAGAGGTTATAGTGAATTAAATTTAGAAGTTTGCTTTCATATTTCCTATCTTACACATATATATGAGCTATATATATATATATAAATTATCCTTAAAAAAATTATATTGAACAGTAGATTTTAACTTTGTTGAGTATCCTAAGTCACAGTTTCATCGGAGCTTCCATGAAGCATTGATTTGCACTTTGAAAATTTCTCTTAATTTCTAAATGTATTTATTAGAAAAGGAGTTTGTAACACCTCAGGAGAAATTAATTTTATAAATGTTTGCTCTAAAAGTTCAAATTTGTAACTTAAAGTGTTATGTATTAAAATTGTATAAATTTGCATCATTATATAAATAAAACCTACATAATGAACGCCTAAATTCAATACAGGTAGTGCAGATGAAGAAGATGAGAATGCTGACAATCGAAATATAGATGAAATTAAAACACTAATTAAAATAATTGAAAACATAATGGAGAAGACTTGGGATAAACCGGATTCCTTGAAAGTAAAAGATCTAGAAAATTTAATGGTAATGTATACATTTTATTGCTTTTGTTATTTAACTAAATCTTTTTATAATCGTTTTTGTTGTCTATAAAAATAGTGCGTAAGTGAATTAAATTAAATTAAATTAGGATGGTTCTGATGGTACTTTGAGACATTTCATTGAAAATAACTTTTCAAATTTTAAGTTAAGATTTTTAATACTTTAAATAACAAAAATAATTCTATTGTTTATTAAATATTAAATAACTCTAAATTTTACTAAATTTTATCAAGCTCATTATTTAACAATCTTTCAAAATTAAAAATTTATCCGCAGTCACAATCATTCGACAAAACGCCTTGGGACACTCTTAATACCCAGAGAAATTTAAAATGTAACTTCTTGTGTTCTTTCTCTTTTGGCAATATGGCAAAAATTTAAATATTGTTTGACTTTGGGTTTGAGAAATTACTCTACAAAAAAATTACATTTTAGTGTGTTTCAAGAAAGCATTAAAGGCCACAAGGGGTGTCAAAAGGGCGCTCTAATTAAAGCTCAAAAATTGTTAATTTTGTAAAATTAACATTTTAGGAATACAAACTTAAGAATTTGTATTTCTAAAATAAGAATAGAAACGGAATGAAAGAATAAGAAATAAGGAAAAAAGGGATGAACTACGTTGAAATTTACGTTGAAAAAGCATTTTATGCACAAAAAACTTTCAGAAGATCCTAAATGCTAAAAAACTTTCTGAAGACTTTGATAAAAGATTTCATACGTCAGTTTCACTTGTGTGATTGTGAAAAGAGTGATTAGATTAGCCAGACTCCTAATCGTTTCACCACAAAAATCCTTTCATAAGTAAGAATAATTAACGAACAAATGTAAAAAATGGTCAAGATCTGTTCAGAAAAGGATCATAGGTAGACGTTTACAACGCAAGGATCAAGTCGTTCTTTGTGGCTGAGAGTAAATTCAATATTTTCCTATTAAATGGTTGTTTTGATCTCTGGCGAGAAAAAAAATGAACACTTTAATATTAAGTGTAAAGTAGCACTGTGAAAATGCACCTGTAGGTAGGTAAACTGCTTTTTTTATTAATATCATAATGGCCATTTAAAATAAGCGTTGAAAAAAAAGGAACTTGCAAACCAAAATGTGTATCAAAAACTGCTAACTAATGATCCTAAATGAGCCGCTTTAAATGTGCGCCTATGATTGCTCCTGTGATTGTCCTGAATTGATCAAAATGGCATCCCACTCGAGTTGAATACAATAAAATATATTTTACAAAAATTAGAAGTAGGTGATATTAAATATAACATTTCATCAAAACCTGAACTGGAATATGTGATGGGAAAAGAATGGAAGAATACTGCTGAAAAAATTGAAAACAAAAATGTGTTTATATAATGCCAAATCAGTTGAAATACTTAATTAATAAGATAATACTTAAATAATATAGATCGCCATTTTTTGAATTGATAGTCATTCTATATATTTTATTTCATTCTTTTGTTTTATATATAGAGAGAAAGAGAGCGAGATTAGAAACTGAAGACTATTTAATGAATAAAAATTATTAATGTAGCACAAAATTCTGCGAAATTAATTAATTAAGAAAGATATAAGATATAGTTTAATATGAATATCAACCAAGTGTGGCAAATTATCCAACAAGAAGGCACAGACTAAAAATGTTAGGGCGCAAATTATATCTTCATGACTCCTTTTTAAAATTTCTTAATAATTCTTAAATTACCTTAATTTTTTATTAATGTCGTCTCATTTAATTATATTAAATTTTAATTTAAAAGAGAATTTCTGTGATTATTTTGTTTTGTAATCCTGATATAATTCAAAAACATGGTTCGACTGATAATTTTTGGTCTGCTGCTTGACAAAGGAATTATCAATTATTATTTATTGTTAATTATGAAACCTTAACATTTAATTATAATTATTTTATTTTTTCATTAATTTACTTTTATTTCAGTTATGTTTTACAAGTTTTTCATCAATTGCTTTTAATTTGTGCCATCGGATAGTTTGCAAACTTTTTTTTATTAATTCTATATATATTATGTTTTCCTTTTGTGTACAAATATACAGGGTTATCCAAATTAAACTTCCCCAACTCAGAGGCCTGTGCAGAGTGTTGTATGGGTCATAATGTGATGAAATTTTAAAAACAGACACTTCAGATCATGCGCTCGAAATTTATTAAACAAAAAAAAATTAATACAATAATTTGTCGATAGGTGGCGCTGCAGATCAACAAGACATTCTACAAATGTTCTATATGTGTGCCATGGTTGTCCACAACTCTTTCCATTCGCAAAGTAGGGTGTTCCACAGCGTAACGCAGTAAGTCTACATGAATTCCACGAACATGTCGAATAATTGCGTCTTTCAGATGTGCCAAGGTCGCTGGCACATCTTTCAGATGGCACATCTGCAGATCTTTCAGATGTGCCAAGATCGGTAGACCCGATCCTTTAAGAATCCCCATAACCAAAAGTCGCATGGCGTGAAATCAGGCGAGTGGGGAGGCCAAGCTGTAGAGAAACATCGGCTGATCACACGTGCATCGGTAAAAGTTGCCCGTAACACCTGTTGAACGCCACGAAGAATATGGGGAGGTGCATGCATCATCCTGCATAAATATCGTGTCCTGGAGGGGGCCACTTGTTGCAGTTCAGGGATCACAAACGTTGTCAACATGTCCTGATACAGTTTTCCTGTGACAAAGCAGGTTTTGAACCCTGTTGGAGTCACCTCTTCAAGAAAATAAGGCCCAATGACGAATGTTGCAGTGAAACCGCACCATACAGTAACCTTTGGAGGGTTCAAGGGCACTTCATGGATTGCGCGTGGGTTTTCACTTGCCCAAATGCGGCAATTGTGCGTATTCACTTGACCATTCAGGTGAAATTGGGCCTCATCCGTCCAAAGGATGTTCTACGGCCAAGCAGCATCGACTTCCAATCTGGCAAGGAAGTGCAACGCAAATGTTTCCCGAACTACAGGATCCCCGTCGGACAGCTGATGATGACTATGGATTTTGTAAGGAAAATAACCGAGGATTCGACGCATCACACGCCAGACGGTCGTATAGGGCATATCAACAGTACGAGAAACAGTTGGCACTCTGACAACACCATGTGGCGATTGGCTAGTGGGGTCCATGACCGCCAAAGCAACGTCTTCTACGCGTGCAGATTCCACAACCTGTCGTCCTCTACCTGGTAAAATTTTCAGCTGCCCCGTTCTTTCGAACTTCTTCATCATGTCTCGTAGAGCGCGTGGTGTCATTGGTCCTCGGCGTAAGATCTTCAGCCGACGGAATGCCCTTATCGCAGCACAGGAGTTCTCTTCATTCTGGTAGAAAAGTTTCACTAACAGAGCTTTGTGTTTCAAAGTCGCCATTGTGCATCAGCGAGCTGGAAACATCTGCCTGTGCAAGGCCTGTCTTCCACTTTTGTAGGGCTCGTCTTTAGGATACGTTGCACAGAAGCTTTATTTCTGCAAATCACGCTGCTGCAATAGGCACATTACTAGTGTTACAGCGCCACCTATCGGCAACTTCTTGTACTAATTTTTTTGTGTAATAAATCTCGAGCGCATGATCTGAAGTGTCTGTTTTTAAAATTTCATCACATTATCATGCACAGGCCTCTGAGTTGGGGAAGTTTAATTTGGATAACCCTGTATATATATATATATATATATATATGCATAAATGTAATTAATATATAAATACATGGGATTTATTTTACTTAAAGAATATGACTGCAAAAATCATTTAGCCAATAATAATCTTAAATGTTGCAAATGAAAATCATTAATTAACGAATAGAAATAAAGAACTATCTAACTTCTATACTATAATCTAAGCATTCTTCTCAACTTCTCCGTAGTACTGAAGTGTTGTCTGTCGCTTCTCAGTTGTACTCGAATTAACACTGTATAAAGCACTAATGTAATGACTCGAAAACAAGAAAAGCCTTGGGTCATGTTTACGTTTTATTCAAGAATGTTTTGTTACGATTAAAGAGATGTTTTCACCTTGAAAACATACAGGTGCTAACTGCTAATACAGGTGCTACATAAGAGGTGCTACACTTTAGAACAGGACGAATGAACATAAAATCATTAATCGTATTCTAAGTCATCCACTTTAAATTAGCATTATAAATATATATGTGTGCCTATTCATGTAATATAAATATCGAAAAAGTCATTAGGAGCTTTAGTTACTTAAATAGTGACTTAAAAGTTATATTTTAATGTCTACTCAAATGAAGTGCAAAACGTTGCGTAAGCAGTCTCATGTCAGCTGCGGATGGAAAGAGTTCTAAAAAATGAAATCTAAATTTCCATATGCTGCTCGTACAGAAAATTATTAATTAAAATTATTAATTATTAAGTATTCGAGGGTGAAAATATGTTAAGGAAGAAGGAGTCAAATCAAAATGTTTCTGTATAAAGTCGGGAAATTTGATGCCTAAATTATCGAGGATCAGTTTCTAATATTTCATTTAAATTTCACTAACAGTTACTATGCATTTTAGAGCTTTTATTATGGCTCGTGTCGTTACATATTCATTCAGCCTAAAGTTTTATACAAATTTTTGTAGCAATTTAAACTAAGGGGCATGGTTTAAGAAGAAGAACCGTGAACGGCATTACTTGTTGCAGAGAATTTTGGTTCTTGATGCCGTCATCGGCCTTTTCTAGCGGGTGGAGCTGCATGATTAAGTGCAAATTTTTATAGACTAAACTGTCCACCGAAGTTATGTTGTCGCTGCAAGTAAGAACTGATAATGTAGCTGATTATTTTATTACATGTTCCAGCCAATAACTGAAAGTCAATTGACTCTTAAGTCAAGGAGACTTACCGTATCTTCCGGCGTATCATGCACCTGTAATTTCAAATTAGGCATTTTAATTTTTAAGCACATTTGCCGTATAACGCTCAACCTTTTAGTCGCAAAGAAAGCTAAAAGATATATGTGCGATGCTGTTACCCTTTAAAATCATTCTTTCGAATGCTTTGGAACAATAGTATATTGAACTGACAAGCGATAAGAGGAACAGTATGGGCGGGGAGAAAATATTTGAGGGAGTAAATAATTCTCTCAAGAAGTTGGGTTGTATTCAGTGCAGATATGTACAAGAATACTATTTGAGGGTTTCGAGAAAAGGGAGAAAACATTTGGGATACGAATGTACTTCTAGCCCTAATGAATTCTTGGAATTAGGAGTGGGAAGTTTTCTCTTTCTGTAGTCAAGAAATTTTATAAAAACTATGTATATTTTAAAGATAGAAGTACTGCTTGTTAAATATCGCTTAATTCAGAATTTGTACCTTAAAGATAATGAATAATTGAATGAGCGATTGCCGATTTTCTATGAATTTTACTAATATACAGGAATACCTTGTATAGTGCGACATCACTCAGTGTTGACCCCGCTATAGTATGCTTAGTAAATTTGAATAATAAATTTCACTCAGTACTGATTGATTGTGGAGTTCGGAAAGATTTTGTTACAAAATAATGCAGCTTAAATATTCCCGCTAAAATATATACTCCCAGCATTGATGTTGACTGGTCATTAGCGCATGCGCTGTCGCCGAGAGACGTGGCAGACTCGTAGAGCGAACTTACACTCAGTCTCTACGATAGTCATATCGAATGATCGTTTGTCATTCTCGGATGGAAAATAATTCGATCTTTTTTAATGTTTACTTGTAACTCCTTCCTAAATCCATTTGTAACCAATGAGAAATATGTAAATAGAATTTGTTTCTGAAATATGTAAATAGCATTTGCTCACCATCTTATTCGCACACCTGATTCCCTCATTTTTAATTTTTACTTGTAACTCCTTCCTAAATCCATTTATAGCAAATGGGAAATTTGTAAATAGCATTTGCTGTGTAAATAGCATTTACTTTAGCTAAAATACAATTGATCTAGTGTTGCTTTTAGTAGTAAATTTGGATCATGCCAAACGAAATATGGTGCTGGTTTCAAATGCAAAGTCATTCACTTTACGAAAGGAAATGGAAATCGGACTGCAGCAAGGATGTTTGGCATTGATGAAACCTCTATACATGAATAGTAGAAAAATGAATTAACTATAATTAACATTCCAAATAATGCATGAGCTTTACAGAAAGGAAACAAAATCGCTTATCCTAGAAGAAAGTGTTACAAACTGGGTTCTAGAAAATCGCCAAAATATCCAGTAACGGCGTTCAGGTACATGTAGAAATAAAATTTTTGTATGCTCATCTTTTCCTTATTTTTAATTCTATTATTTTTATATCCGACGGATAACGCATTTCCTTAACTTTAGATCTCGTTTTTTGTAATAAAAGTGAGTGTTATGCGCCGAAATATACGGCAAATTTTGTGTTTTAACATGTTTTATGTTAACTCACCAGCAGTGAAAAAATAAAGTTAAATAAATATTTTAATTTCTATATCTTTTTTTTTCATAATCAGATTCAAGGAAAAGTCCAATAATTCGCCATCACGGTAAGGTACTGTTAAAAGCTAAGTGACTGGTAGAGGCATTTAATTAAATAGAAAACCCTTCCTCTATGGCTATAACTTTTTTCCAAGAATATGTTTTTTAATGGGTTCTTTTATAATTTCTTTGAAGATTGCGTTTTTCATAATATTTATAATTTATTCCCACAGGCGATACAAGATTTGACAAGCAACCTCTTGGATCAAAAGTACGAAACTGGATGGCAAAGTATACAAAACGTAAGTTCATTAATTCTGAAGTCATTTATTACGAGTTCATTATACTATTGATACTAATCGGACTGTAATTTACTGTATGGCCATTTTTACATACTAGAAGATCAGTAGTAAAATGAATTTTCCTGTCATGTTCTGTAACGGATGGTGAGACTTCTTGTAGAAGAAACTAAATCTTGTAATCAAGAAATTATCTCTAAAGTTACTAACCTGTTATAGTTGTATATCTCTGAATATATTTAAAGAAAGAACAACAAAAGTAACCTCTGCCTCTATTACATACCTATGAGGTCTAAAATGCCTACATACATAATGAGGTTTTAAGAGTACAACAAGCTGTACCTTAAAATGTTCTCTCTCTATTTTTTACGAAATATCTAAAAATCAGATTAAAATTAATTAACGTGAGTAAATATTATCCCAGCATTTCAAGAAATATTAAGGTTAAATAAAGAAATAAATAAATTCTATACTTAAGCTGAGAATTTAATCATATTTTTATTCAACTTTATAAGGTATTTTACTTTATAATTTATTATTTATAAGGTATTTTACTTTATAATTTATTATTTATAAGGTATTTTACTTTATAATTTATTATTTATAAGGTATTTACTTAAGGTACAACTTTATAAGGTCTCCCGCCATCTTATCATGCCTTTGTAGTGTGGTCTGTACGCTGGGCGCGTATTTTAGAGGTCCGTGGTTCGATTCTCGGCGAAGGCGTTTCTCATTTTACACTTCTGCTTCCAAAAAATACCTAATGTCTCTACAACATGACTAAAAAACCAAACTTTTATCATATTGAATATTGAATTACTATTATATTTGTATTATGCACTACTTACTGCAGGTAACAATGTCCTATACAGCACTTTCTCTCTTCTTCTACATAACGAAGCGAATTTCGTTTATAAAATACGATCAAAACAAATAAAGTTTTCATTATAAAATATATGTGGAGATCCCTATCGATTTTTAACATTACTATGAAAGAATAAAAATGGCACGACACATTTATGAATTCAAAGAATCTATTTTTTATTTATACATTATCATCTAAACGACCGGACACTTGCTGGTTCAGCGTTCGTAACAAATTATGGCCTTTTTCCTTGGCCATCTAATCCTCTCATCATTCAAAATGTTGTTTAATGTGCATCATAAGAGAAAAACTGATATTATACCCATAAAGAAGGGGAAAACGCAACATCCATATAGCCAAGTCTTACATCGGTGCCAAAACCACACTCTGTGTTCCAGGTTACCAGTCAGCCTCTTAAGCCCTCAACGGCAGGTAAATAAATTTTATGAAAACTGTGCATATTTTAGAGATAGAAGAAATGCTTGCTAAACATCACTTAAGTCTGCTAAACATCACATAAGTCAGAATATGTAATGAATGAATAACTGGATTGCCTATCTTCTATAAATTTTACTCATATACAGGAATACTTGGCATAGTGCGACTTCACACAGTGCTGACCCCGCTATAGTAAGCATAGTAGTTTGAATAATAAATTGGATTTTGCTGCACGGACACCGGATACTTGACAAAACGAAACAAGTAGGCTGATATGGCCATTTTATTTCGAGGAAATAAAAGAAAAATTCGTAAGGAAAACTCCATGGATTCTTGGATCCATGAAGTTTTTATTCGGGAATCCATGGATCCAAAATATCAGTAGGAGACTGCATAGCCTTTTGTGGCTAAATTGGGATCCGTATTTCATTTACAAACGTCTCAGAGAGGTGAATGTCATATTAACTCGTTCGTTAAAATGATGAATTGTTGACGATAATTTTTTTTTTTTTTTTTTTTTTTTTTTTTTTTTGTAAAGGGTTTTTGCCAAGAGAATTTTAATGTTTTAGTATAACGTTTAGATCAAAAGGGTTTAAATCTTTCCAAAAACATATTTCATAATATTTATATGTAAATATAGCAAATTATTTTCTATGTCATATATAATTATTATGAGTTAGAAATTAAAGGGTGTTTCAGTAACTTAGTCTGAAATCTTAAATTCATCTTTTTCGAAGAATTCAGAAAATTACTTACACAGTTTTGGCAATAAACTCTTGTACTATACTGTAAAAGGCAAATCAGAATCGATTAATTTATAGAAGGTTAAGCATATGTGGCTGTAAGTTCCTTATAGACAGAATCCAATTATTACGTTTCTCAAAATACGGATAGTTTTAAGAAAATATTATTCGTCATTATGGTGGAATGATTCTTTAAATTTAATAAAAGATCTCTTTTAACGTGGCTCTAGCAGGCCATTACTCGTATTAGTTAACGAAATAGTCATTATATTTTTGTAAATTAAATATGAAAAGTTCTAAACCTTGTTTTTAGGAATAATCGCATTCTCTTATGCATATGTTTACGGTGTAAGTGGTATGCACATCCATCTACGTAACAACTGGAAGTTCCGTGTTTCGAATCTCAACGAGAGTACAACTAAATTCTCATGTTTTATGGCTCAAATAAATAAAAGAAATCTCTACAACTTTTAAATGTAGTTAATGCAAAATATCCTGGTTTTGTAAATTAATAATATCGAACTGTATGTAATTTCCCTTATTAAACTCATAGCTGGCGCACTTAAAATTATCATTTGCTCCTTATCTTTACAAATATCGTTCACATAAGAGGTTGGAATTTTTTTGCCCTTTTGGCGGGCACTTAGTCTACATAGGCTTGACCACTACTAAAGCCAGAAGCCGTGACCACTTTATTGTGGAAGCACCTAATAAGTGGGCCACCGTTACCTCCTATGGAGGGATGGAAAATTACAGCCATTTCTCTAGGATTCGAACCCGCGCCCTTAGTATCGCAGCAAACTCCTCTAGCACTATATCGTCTGGGTGGCTGTAATGTTTCCCGATTAAATTAATATGCTCTACTGGGTCAACTAAATTTTGATTTCATACATATGAACGCTTCTACTTGTAATGTCGAGAGTGCTTTCATAAATTTCTGTACTTAATTTTTTAAAAAAATCTTTGCGACTAGAAATATGCATGTATGATCAATAATTGTTGCAACATATCTCACTTATCTGATAGTAAAATTACAAGCTTACGAATTTTATAGTAGAGTATGGTTGTATCTGTCGTTGGTGACAGAATGACTACTTCCACTTCCGTCCAAAGCTTGAATAAAAACTCCCTCGAAAGACGGGTTCAGCTGCCTCCCGCTCCTCCTTTCCTACAACACACCACTCGAGAAGGCTTTCGGCTCTACATGCATTTTAAATGCCTCCATATAACAAAGAAACACCACAGTTACTTACAGCCAAGCCGCCTCCGTGATTCGAACTTGACCTAAGGATACGGCAGCCAGCAACGCTGAGCAGTATATCTATCAGGGCGGCGAGATCTATATTTAAAGAGATGATGCAGCTTCTGAGAATATCAATTGGAATTTTTAATTTCTTCAAATCGTGTAATCAAAAGCTTCAGAGCCACCTGAAAATGAAGTCTATCTCGTACTTCATCGAAGACTGTGGATTGTAATCTTTAGGCTCTGCATATTTGAACGTTTGGAGTGTGAGGGATGAATCAGTTAATTTTGTCCTTATCTGTAGTATGTTTGAGTTAAAAATGGCTTAAATACTTACGTTTCTTTCGAAGGAAGGTTTACTATGTATAGTTTGAAGTAAATGCGATGTAATGGGATAGAAGAATTCTTGAGACAACAAGGCGCAAGCAATGATTCTTCGGCTGATCTCCCATCAGTGGTTGGAGTCGATGAACAGTGCTAGTTCGACTGGAGTTCGAATCCTTACAAACGGATTAGGTGTATGGGCGTTTTCGTTGTTTTGGTCATGTGTAACGAGAATGAGAGCCAGTTTCCCTTAAAACGAAGTCATCCTTACTCTTAGGCAAATAGTCTCCGTGTGCTTTTCCATAACTAAATAAACCAAATCAAACCTGTCTGCAGTAGTTAGGCTCCTTCAGGCAAATATGCTTATGAATATGATTTGCATCTCAATATTCAGTTTTTCTGAGCACAGTTTTCATATGCAGCAATATACACTTTATCTAACAAAGTATATTCACACGTACATATCCATACACAGAAAAGAATATTATTAAGGATACTATTATTATTATTATTATTAATGATTAAATTAATATTTTAGCAACACACAGCAGAAAAATAGAGCAATATCCATACAATTATTACAAATTTGTTCATCTGGTAAAATTGGTATGAGTTTTAATTCACACATCCTTTACAAACACAATTTACTAACCTACTTTTCCCCAGGAAAGCAATCTTTTCTTAAAAATACTATTTCAACAAAAATTTTAAATGATTAATTATTAATTATTCAGTTTTCATAATTGACAGCAAGGTAAATCGTCGATCGACTTCGTTAATCAAGTGAGTGCGTACCAGCTTCAGAAAGCAAAACAGACAGATACTGGAAAAGAACCCTTGAAATTGATGGTTAAATCAACTAATATCGGTAAGTTTATATTCATCAAACGTTTATTAAAACTATTATGTATACCAATGTGATACCAATGTGAATTATAAATAAAAATTAACATAATTTGTAATAATTCAATTAAAACAGTAATCTGAGGTTAAATGTTTTAAAATTAAATAATAAAGTAAAATTAAGTTTTATTTCATAGTCGAGATTACTTTTTTAATGGCTGCTAAAAAGCCCTACAGATTTCAGGAAAGCTTCACTTTCTTGCTTGCTAATTTATGTTAAGCTTGAAATAGAAATGACTTCAGTTCCCTTTACAATTTTCCTAATATTCGTATTGGATTTTAATAAAAAGTTCCATTGCCAACTGAAATCGTATTCTTTGAAAATGTCTGAATCACTAACGTTATGTCATTTAACTTGGATTAATTTAGAAATGGAGATGTTTAGAGATTTATTATAAGCAGTTACTATTTTTAGGACAGAAAGCGGAAATAGTCAAATTAAAATGGAGAGTTAAGAAACTATTGCAAATTAAAGTTAAAATTTTTATTTATATATTTTTATCTTATGTTATAAAAATACATTACATGACTTTATGTTTTATGACGATTCTTCGAAAATCTGCAAAACCGTGCTCTTTTTAGTTACAGATATTCGCAGATCCATGTTATACGACGTCTTAGCTGCAGATGAACCAATATCATTTCCTCCTGATCCTGCGGAAGAAGATGGTGATGACTACGAAGATAAAGAGCGAAAAAGAAGAAAAAGAGAGACTAATGAGGATGAGGATAAAGATGAGGGTGAGGATGAAGATGAAAATGAAAAAGAAGAAGAAAGTAAGGGCCGAGTAGTCATAACTAAAGAAGTCTACGGCGATTTAAACAAACGTAAGTAAACTTAATATCGGTTTTGTAAATTGAATTAAAATAGTTCACATTTGAGTTAGATAACAATATCACTTTTTATAATGCTATACAAAATAATAAACATTAAATCATAGAAATTAATGGAAAAGTAAATTTTATTGTCAAATACCTATATGATATTTTATTCTCTTTATCAAGTAAATCTTTGCAAAAAATAATTAAGGTGTGCGAAAGTTAATTTTAGTTAAAGAAATACGAAATTGTCTTCTTAAAAAAGGAAATGGAATTTCCATAAAATTATTTATTTTTGAAATTGTTTAAAGTTTTAAAATTATATATGGATTGAGTTTTCATCCCCGAATATTTTAAAATGTTAAATAACTAGATGCTTAATTTTAATATAAAATGGTCCCCTTGATAAAAGTTAATAACATCACACTTTTAATTTTTTTTTCACTGCTTTGACTTGTTTTGGAATTTTTAACAGTAAATTTTCTTGCAAATGTTAGACATATTACAACTTCTTGCTTTTTTCCCCTCTATATTAAAATTAAAGCGAAAGTTGTCATATTAAATCTATTAAATGGTTTTGCTATCCGTTGATGATTCAGTATCGTTAGATCAGTGGTAACTTTCCTTTTTTTTAGATGAAATAATATCTCGTATTGAAATAAAATTCTATCTTTATAAATAAGACCTCTATGGGAAAAGTTGTAAAAAATAAAACCTGTCGTCCTACTCATTCATTGTCCTAAAAGATTCAGTTGGAAATTTTACTTAAATACAATTGCTATTAGATTTTTAAATTTTTTACTGAAACTGTTATTAATTGTTTTTTAAATTTTTACTGTAATTGCTCTTAGAATTTTTTGAAATTTTCTCTCAGCTTTTATATCTGATGTAATGAATTTACTATTTTAGTGGACAAAGTGGCTTTCACTGGAAGTTCTTACAGCTATCTGGATAGGCTTTCACCTTTGTGGAATAAACAGACGTATGTAATTTATAAGCGCTTAGAAATAGTATATGTAAATTTACACAATTTTATTTAAAAACATAATACAATACATTTGATGAGGTATGCACATATAATGCATTTATTATTTGATGTAAATGTGAAAATCTGTTCCAGAGACTTTTTTAAATTAATATATTTACTGATTTTAGTTCTATGTAAAAAGTAATTAAACGTGAAGGAAAACTTAAAATTCCTCAAATAGCAGAATACTGAACGCTGATCATAATGGCTTGATAAGAATATTATTCAAGACCATCATCAAATGCAACTTGCGCAGATAACATTCTTTGATTTCTACAAGTGATTCTTAATCTCTTATTAAAACCGCATTTATTAACTCAGTTACAGTTGATTCTGAATCGCTTTGTTATTAAAATTCTAGCCTTGATCCGGTAATGGTCATGCAAGATATTTCAGACATTCTTTTCTTAAGTTTTAAACTATATAAAAAAATAGTTTTAAAATAAGTGAGCTGTGAGTTTGCTCGCTAATGAACGAAAATATAATAAACTTTACAAAATGATTATTTTCACTTTGAAAAAGTAACTACAAATAACTCTAAGTAAATGAGAAAATAATTATAAATCACTCGAAATAACGCTGAAAAATGATTATGATCCTGGAGTGACGAATACGTTACACTAATGATTCAATACTTTTCTAATGCATAGGAATTAATATTTGTTATTTGAAGATAAAATTTATAGGAATAAGATTCAGTTTCTGTCAAAACTTCCATCTTGGAGAAAATAAACCTTACAAAAAAAAGTAGGCTTTCTTGTGCCTTTTCTTTGTTTAATAAGTTATCTAGCTTCTTAATTAACATTTGACTTTATTAGTTATTTACATCAGTGATTTCTAAAAAGTGGGTAGCGTGGCCCGACAATCGGTCGAGAGATATCTTTTGATTTGTTGGGAATTTTAGAATTTTTTCGCTGTATAGTTATACCTACTTACTTTAAGTTATTAATTAATTCATGAGTATTAATTAATTGTTCATTATAATAAGCATTTGTTTATTATTAACTCATTATAACACCATTTTCCTTTCCTTCTTCTTAACTTGAGAACAAATGAGCGCAAGTTACTCGCAATACGTCACAACTACTATGTCAATGTGAGTCGCGGTAGTAAAAAGTTTGCGAAATACTACAGAATGATTATAGATTATATTTTCAAAGAATTCAGTTATCTATTTAATACTCACCCATTATAAAATCCCAGTTTTAAGACTGTTATCTCAATTCTGAATTGGCAAAATTGAGTTTTTTATCTATACAAAGATAAAGATTTCGCTTAAAATGAAAACAATTTCAAAATAAAAAAAATTAAGAAGCACTAATTAAGTAAAAAATTACGCTAAATTAGAGCAAATTAATTGAAGTTAGGTTTTATGCTTAACTATCATTCTCGAGGGCAGTTCATTTTAAGAAGTAAACAATTTTAGCTACAATTTTTTGTTCTTCTTACTTGATCCCGAAAAAAGAGAGATTTACGTCAGTCGTTTTTTCTGCTTAATTTAAAATTTTTATATTAGTACTTGTTTCTTTCGTAGATATTTATTAAAAACATGCATTATTACAGATCAAAGTACAATCTAGAAAACGCTTTATATTAGGACATAATAAAGGCCTTAGAAACAAACACAGGTGTCAGATGTTTCTCAAATTTTCTAGATGATTTCTCAGAACATTATCTAGACAAATAAATGGTATGGTGACTATGGTGCGCTAATGGAGCGACTCCATACAGTGATTGGTAGTTGACAGGTTTGCGTTTTGGTTAGGCTGCATATATAGAACTAAAAATACATTTGTTATATATCTCTGAGAAGCTCTTTTAACCATATTGTAGCAACAATTGACAATTCATATTGAACACATAGAAAAGATAAATATTGTTTCCTTATGTGAGAATCTTGCTAGTGGCAAGAATCTCTCAAGTCGGGAGTTTCAGAGCATTCTGATATCTTGCTCTGTCTGAAACCAATTTGCAGACTGAATTAGTCATACCCTTTTAATTTTTCGGTTGCGTTTCACGTCGTCTGACTCGTTATGGTAGAAGGCTTAATTAGAGGAGCTAAAAGAATCATTGGATCTTCGGTTCCTTACATTCGAGAGATCCTGATGACAGACGCACTGTAGATCGCTAAAAATCCCTTGGCACTGGTTGTGAAGTTGTCACTCTTGTAATGTCAAGTGAATGCGTTACTCAACGAGTTTTTGCTCCTGCAATGTCAGAGTATATCGTCTCACGACTGGTAAGAGCTCAAAGCGTTCGACCGCGAGGGACTGGGCACATGAATTTATTTGTATAGTCCGCCGCGCAAGCATTGTCCTTGTTAGTCTGTTCATGGTTTAAGTAGAAACTAAGGTAAACGAAATTAAATCCATTGAGAAACTTCTGTTGTGAATCCTTAATTGCTAAGGAAACAAGATGTATAAAAACAAATAATAAGTTTCGGTTGTGAACCTCTAGAAAACAGATGTAGAATTCACCAGAGATTCCTTATGAATCGCCATCCACATTTTTTTACTTATCTTTCAGACCTTACTTTAACAGTTAACTTAAATAATTAGCTATCTGAAGTTACAGATTTCCTCCGAATAAAAAGTAAACACTGGAACCAAAATTAAAGAAATAATTTTAAAAAAGTATAAAAGAAGTCCATACCTATGATTAGAAAATATATAAATCTAGCAATTTTATTTTCGTTTCCTCGAAATATTTATGTTGTTTGAATCTCTTTTAATGCAATAAAAATTATTCAGGCTAAATTACTATGATTTTTGCGTTGTTTCAAACACTTTGACAGCGTTGATTTTTCTTATTCTTTTAGTGGAAATTTTACAACGTACGTATTTATAGACAGCGAAATATTATCTGCTACAGTTGATCCTAATGCAAGTTCCACAGCCTTGGAAAAAGAACCCATATTGGTAACTCTGAAACACAAAAGACAGGTAATACTCTAAATCTGGTATTTGCAATTTACACGTTTTGTTCTGTTTGCATTTAATATGACAGTAACAAGTGAGGCGATCATTGATGAAATACCTTAATACTGAATGTCATTTATTACGCTAAGGTGGTGTGGGGTGTATTTAATTATGGCGAAGCACACTAGGGCTATCTTCCTAAAGGGAGGGATGCCTTCGTGGAGGACTTTCTAAGGGGAACTGGCTCGTATACACGTTACACGTAGGGAAAACCACGAAAACACCCATGCAGCCGGCCCGTTCGCGGGATTCGAACCTCGGACAGAACCACCAGTGTTTAGCGAGTTTACCGCTCGGCCGCTGGTAGGCTTATTACGCTAAGGTAAAATGCTTTCTTCAGTTTGCATAACTTTAATTTTAAGCAAATGTATTCTTCCTCATTTTTTTTTTTTTTTTTTTTTTTTTTTTTTTTTAAATTTCAGCTCGATTTCTCTACTTTCAGGGTAACTATAAACCAATTCATTGGCACTGAATTTGGTTTTAATAATTATATGTCTACGTAAAATATTGATATAAATAGTGACATAATTTGATAGGAACACCAGCAATTTTAGCGTTGATGTAATCATAAATTCGTAACACATATTTTGGTAATTTAGTTGTAGAGACATTAGGATATTTAAAGCCAGAGACGTGAAAAATGTAAAGCGCCCTAGCTCGAACCTGAACCTCTCAAATACGCGCCGAGTGTACTACCGTTACACACACTACTACGTAGGCATACAGAAAGGAGGGAGAAAATTCCTTATATACTCCCCCATTTTATAGAGATTAAGGGAGCAAATCCTGGTGGTGATGAATCAATAAACACCGCTTTCAGTTCGGGCGCCATTGTAGAGTCATTGGGATTTTTTTTAAGTAGGAACACGAAAAATGAGCTATGCCTTCGCCAGGACTCGAACCTAGACCTCTCGAATACGCGCCGAGTTACACCACGAAGGTATATAGAAAGGAGGGATAAAACACCTTATACAGTTTTACTATAAATCTCACATTTTTTTACTCTAGGGCTTTTCTTGAGACTCGAATGTACAGCCTATTAAATTCTACATTCAAAGAAACTGCAGATTTAATTAAAAACAATGCTTTATTTCAGGGTACTTTCACCTTTAAGTGTACATTTTCAAAACTCTTAAAAGAAATTACAGGTTTAATTGGAAACGGCTTTTTTTCACGCTAATTTAAATGCAAAAAACTACCTGTGCTCCGGTAACATTCAGTAATCCTCAGATGGGGGAAGAAAAGAAAAGGGGAAAAATACCCTAAATGAAAGCAAAGGGGAAATTTCTTAAATGTAAAGCAATCAAATGCTGCAAGTGCTCAGTGATGTTTATGGAAAAATGTGATTTGTAATTATGCAATTTTTTAAAAGTTTATGATTTTATATTTGTATTTAAAATTTATATGCAGATTCCAGTTTATAATTAAACTATTTTTCAGCTAAATAATTGCTATCAGCTTACTAATTTATGAATCACTAAGGAGTTTATGATACAGAATATAAAATCATTTATTCAAAATGTGATTAAGAAGCAACGACGTAAGAAATACTATATATTTTTGTGTAGATTTGTGCATAATGATAAAGAAAAGATTAAATTATTCATGACGTGCCTGTGAATTTATTTGTCTGGATTAGCTTACAACAAATATTTCTGTTGGATAGGAACACTTTTTATTTTATAGAACAGCGAATTCGCTCCTTAGAAACGATAAACACTTCTTCTAAATGTTTAATAAAATTAGATACCATTTTAAAAGCATTATTCGATATGAAATGTAAGTTGTAAGATTTTTAAAAACTATTCTTCAATCTTTTAAGTTTTTCGAAAAATATCACTCTGGTTTATTGAATAGACATGAGTACTTGTTTTAAGCAAGTAAAAATTCATGGAAGACTTTATATTATAACTATGCTATTCTAACGGTTCTTTTTGCCATTAAACAGGCGGAAAAGTTCCGATATGTTTTCTGATTGAAATTTTTACTTATTGATTGGTTTTATTTTTATTTTTATTTGTTCGTTTATTCATTCATTTATTAGGTGAAAGCATCAGGACGCAAACTATTGGCAGACAAGGATTTACAGGAAAATGGCGAAGTAAGTTTCAGTTCAGTTAAATTAATGCTTTCATTAATTTATTACCCCTTTTAAATTATTAGGTTTTTATGTGTCATGTGTGTGTTTTTATATGTCTATACATTTACTAATTAAAATAGTTATTTTTAACCTGGTCCGCAAGTGTGGCACATAGCTTAGGTAAAGATCGAAATAAAAAATATAAAGACATGGTTAAGGAATGTAAAAAATAGCTTATGTAAATTTTAAAAATACCGCAGAACTCTGAAAAGCTGTATCAACTAGAATCGCATATTATTAAGCATTGTTTTCATTTATTTATAGTGGTGAACTTATTGTCTTTTAATATTAATACATATTTAATACAATTCTTTTAATTAATATTTTGGAATCATTCGTTTACGCTATTTCAAAGCTAATAACGATGAGTAAATCATTTTTCTCAAAGTTTCAGAGACTTTGTCAAAAACTCAAAGACTCAAAGACTTTTGTCATTCATTATTTAAATTACATAATTTAACTGAAAATTCTGTGATTGGCTATTATAGAGCATTCTTTAAAGAAAGTGGTTTGCAAAGCATTTAAAAACTGTAATAAGTATCATATAGCATATGATATTATATTTCATTCTTCTCAGGGGAATAAGAATGCTACAATTGATCCATGGGTCTTCATCCATTTTGTAGATTGAAGTAGCTGCTTCAGTGGGCAGCTAAAAAATGGCTTTTGTCCTTCATCTTGTAAAAGCACTAGCCAAATTTAACGATATTTCTTCCCAATTAATTAAAATAATATTTGGTTTGAAAATGGAACGTTATATGTTCCTCCATTTTTAGATTTACTATCTAAAACCTTTTTAAAAAAATTGGTTATTTTCTGATTATCCGCACCACCACCAAAAAGTCGCAAACTGGCTAATGTTTTCGGCCAGCATTCATCAAATCTTTGGCGATTTATCAAGGAAACTGGCGTCTTTCCATAACAGGTACCCTTTAGAGAGATTCAAAACTTTCCGTTAATCTGATGCATTAAATGCAAAAGCCATTATAATTGTTAAAAAGCAAAAAACATTTGGTAATAAAACTCTTACCCTTTCCGAAAAAAACATTCTGTGTTTTTTTTTCTATTATTCTTCCCATGCACACAGCGATCTGTTTTGCTAAATATTCAGAGAATTGCACAGACTTGCCATTGCGCACGTCTGCGACGTGCATAGGGCAAAACAGATAGGCATACGTCGGTTTTCACACTTTTTGGTGCCACCGTGTGTTGCCACAGAACTATTTTCGCGGCATAGTGTATCATCTCATGAACACTTTTTCTCGAGTTTTCCGTGAGACCGTTATAATTAGAGAATACCAAAATTTGCATATAATTGTCTATGCTTTATTTTTTATTAGAAAAATTTCTTGATCCAAAATTTTAGTTAAAATATTTCTTTTCTAGTAATTGTTGAGCTATTTCTTATATATCATGTACTTTTCTTTCAGATTAGGAAGCGCGAGTGTGTCCTTTGGGATCCAAATATGGATATCAAAGGGTAAGAATTTTTAAAAACACAATCGGCTAACTGCTTTATAAATCAGTTTTGTAAGACTATCGAAACTCCTGCAATGCTGTTATAATGCTTAAAACTTGGTTGGTTTGAAAAATAGGTCGTTGCATCATAACGTGATTTTCAGTATTAATATAAAACTTTGAATATCCTGCTTCAGGACTGTTTATGGATCAGGAGTTTATTTTGTATAATATAATTTATAAGCGGATATCGTCTGATATTTTCTAATGATGTTTTATGCTCTGTACGTTAGTTTAATTTCTTGTAATATAAGTAATGACATATATGTTGTAATTTAACATTTTTAGGAGCAAAAGGAAAGGTGGCTGGAACCCCGAAGATTGTTCTGTCGCCAATTCTACAGCAGAGGAAACAACATGCCAATGCTCACGATTGGGAACATACGCCATTATGTCTAAAATAAGGCAGCCTTTTGTAAATATAATTATTTTGTAAATTTGTATATAACATTTTATAGAAATGGATTAGAAAGCAATATAAAAGTATTTAAAAAAGTAGCTTACAAATATATTAGATAACTTACTGTAAATGAATTAATTTGCTTTTAATGCTTAGTAAATTTAGGTGTTCATGGATTAGTATCTTTTTTTAATTCTAAAAATACTGCTAAGTAGATTTTTTAGCTATGTGAAGAAATCATTATCTATCAGAAATGAAAATCTGTGAGCATAATTTAATCACTTCTTTCTCACCTCTATTTTTTCTTAATTAATAATCAATTTGAAATAAATGCATATATTTTCACAGATGAATCTGCACCAAAGACTCATTATTGGAAATCCATAAAAATGATTTTATAAGAAAGTTGAAATATTTTAAGGTTTAACATACATATTCCGAACAGCTTGAAAGTTTTCTGTGTAAATTACATGTAAATACTCCATTTTTACTAGCTATGAGCATTGAAAAAGTAAAAAAAAAGAACTAAGACTGACTAGTAGTTGAAAGTTCTAAACGAATGGAACAGAAACAATAATGGTATAATTAACTTTACTTCTTGCTATACCTAATCAAAATATTAATTCATTCTTCATATTCGAATCTTACGCATCTCTGGTTTTGTTCAAATCTGTGTCTTCTATATGTCAGCATATTTAGAATCTTGTATTAATTCATAATTAGAAGTATCTATGGCTTTGGAAAGCCTGTAGTATTAAAACTTTTTCCAAATATTATTAGTGAAAATTATGTATGATGCATCCACGCATCGTTTCCAAATTTTCCTATTACATACTTGTCTACTTTGACTATTGTGTCTGTATGGGCTAAATTGTGGCTTTCTCTATCCACCCATTTTGCATGAAACTTTTGAATTCAGTCTTTTAAAGGTTCATTAAGTGAGACGTCAGGTGATTCTTAGAAGTTACGTTTTCAGCAATCACGGCTGTTCGACTTTTTAAGGTCTCTTCTTCATATTCTCTATATGGATGATTCCGTCTAATATACCCAGTCACGTATTTTCTTGCGAAATCTACTCGGCTTTTATTACACCTTTCCAAAGTATGACGTGAAAAACAAGGATACAAAACATAGGTGATGGCTAAACATACATAAGGAAATTTACGATTTTTACGATTACGATTTATTTACGATTTTATCCCCAGAAGAGCTCAGTGAAATAAAAACTATATCTGGAAAAGCTCATGAAATTTTATTATTAGCAGCAAAATTAAAACAGAAGAAATAAAAAATAACAAATTAGAATGATAACATGTTCATTATTAGATTTATCTATGGATTTTAACGTATTTTAAATGATGTAAAATTAAACACTGCATTATCAAAGAGAAAGTGATAGAAACGTTTCCCTTTATAAAACGCTTTTATCATAAAATTCAATAACAACTTCCTTCTTATTCTCAGTGGCCCCGGGCTTTTTTGTAGTTTCCTCATGTGTAAAGTGTATACGAGACAGTTTCCCTTAGAAAGTCTTCCACAAAGGCATCCCTCCCTTTAAGCAGATAGCCCCGAGTGTTTTCCCATAATTTAATAAACAAACTTAAACAAAAACATCTTACTGTCAGCTTTTTTGAATCATGAGTAAGCCTTTTCAAACCATGTAAATTTCAGTATGTAGAGAGATAGATAGATATATAGATATTGGTTTAATATTGTGATTAATCTCTCAATTTTCGATGGTCTTATATTCGAAACTACTGGAAATTGAATTAGCTTATTTATATCAAAAGTAATGTACGTTTCATCGAACAATGAAATGTTAAAGTTCAATCTTAGGTTGGATTAAAAAAATAATTCATAGCGCATACGAATTTCTCTTCATTTCTCCCATAGACCTTACTGTTATGTATCTTGCGTAACTGATATTTATACTTCCATCATTTCTCACTCTTCATCGCTTAGTTAGCACTTTATCGTTATTGCTCCCTTGTTTATTACCTCTTTATGCCAGGCGTTCATTCAAATCAATCACATTTTCGTTCGACGATGACAAAGTTTCGTCAAGATGCTCCTCGTAAATAAATATTGATTGCTTCATACTTTTCTTGTGTCATAATAAGGTTATTACTCCACAGAAAGAATAGAGGTAAATGACCGATTTTCGTTACTCTGAAATATCTTTACGTTATAATTCAATTAGTTTAATTTTATAAACCTAAATTCATTTCATTTTACTTAGATAACTTAATACCTGTACTACAATGGTATTCATATAAATCCCTGGCGAGATTTGTAAACTTCACCTTCATTTATAGTCTTATAGTTAATGCAAGTTTAGATATTTTACTTAAATTTGTAAGTAATGATAAGTGTATTTATTTCTATATAAATGTTGTTTCTGTTATTTTTTTCTTGCAGACGATTACACCCGAAGATGAATGGGTAAAAATCTGCAAATGGATAGGACATGGACTATCGATAATTTTGTTAATATTTTATATTTTTGTAATTGTCCTCAGAGGGTAAGTAAATTAGATTTATTTTTATTTTCTTTGCCCTTAATTCTAAATTTTAAAGGGAGTTGTCAAATATTTTTTTCCGTGAAAAGTTTCAAAAATGAATGATTTGTGAATGCAGTTAGAAAAGCATCAATCTAAGCTATTACGTAAGGATTTTAACTTATGTTGCTTTTAAATTGTTTTCATTATTCTTAGCTCTATTGAAATTTTACGTAAGTTTACGTATGAATTAATTTTTCATATTTAATTGTTTGGAAGCCTTACCTGTATAAATATACTAAAATCGTTTATTAAAAAATAAATTAAATTATATTATTTTAGTGTTTGCGATGTATATATAAGAAATTAAACATTAAAATCGACAAAATCCAGAATTATTGTTTAAATAAAATGATGTTGAAGCTTCGCAAAAGAATTAATTTTCAGTTATTAAGTTACCTAAAAAGGATTTTCTTAAAGATTCTTCTTCGCAGTTAGCTATGGAAGATTTTTAAGGCATTAAAAATGTTAGTCAATTGATTAAACTGATCAGTCATTTCTGAACAAACCCAAGACAGAGAAAGCCAGTTTCAATGACCAAAAAAGATATCTTTATTTGAAGTATGATTTTAGTATTTTAAACAATAAGTATGGTCAGCCTTTTTATTCATTTGCTCACATGTTGCGATAAAGTTAAACCATTTAAAAACATATCGCTGTTTTGAGCGATATCGTCTTCTTTTAAAATAATTTATTTTAAAGAGTATGATTAGTAGTAATATTCAATACTAGAGCGATACAATTCTTTTAATATCTTACAGTATCAATGCTGTCATAAATACTGCCAATTTATACATGTGGTCTACATAAGGGATTTGTATAGCATTAATTATCGAATCTAACCTACCGTGTTGCTGAAATTATTCACAGTATTCCGGTATAGTTGTTAATGTTATAGATTTGAAAAAAATATATATAATTGCTCTGAATATGGGAAAATTTTCGCTTTAGTTCATATAAGCTCAGTTTTTTGCATAAATTTTCAGATATTTCCTTCCTTTCTAACGATGATATTATCCACATCAGCATAGTTTCATTAATTATCAGCATATTTTCATTAATTATCAGCATATTTTCATTCGAAATTTAAGCCTTCCTCCTTATGCTTACAGCCCATCAGCGGCCGAGCGTTAATGTCCCTGAGCACTGGTAATTCCAACTTGGGTTCGATTCCAGGCGAATGGGGAGGCTCTATGGGCGTTTTCGGGGTTTTGCCATGTATAAAGACGCATAATAGACAGTTTTCTTTAGAAAGTCCTTTCACGAAGGTATCTCGTTAGGCAGATAGTCCTATTGTATTTTGGCATAATCTCAATAAGTCAAACCAAACCAAACCGTATACTTACATACGCAACATTTTCAAAACATGACCCATTTAAAATTCTTCGGGTAATTTGATTTCACGGATCATTTCTCAAGTAGGAAATGCAGCTAAAATAGAAACACAGAAATGTTTTAATAAATCAAACATTTTGTGCTAGTCGTGGATTTGCTAAAGCCATAATATGTATATTTCATTATTGAAAACGCTTCTGATCCCATGAAAGTTTCTTTAGGCCGATGGAGAGGCACTAGCAAAACTGATATGAATGTTTATAAAACCTGTGATATTTGCACATTGCGCTATGTTTTCCCAAACATTTCCTGAAGTGGAACAGGACACCAAAGTTCGGAATAGATACTCTCAAATGCAGATAGTCTGATTAACTTTATATTACATCGTTTCCTTTTAGTATTTATTGGCATATTGTGTTAAGACCTGTTAGGTACTAATAGAAAGCCTAACTTTAAACACAGTAAAATGTTCTTTCATTTTCACGCTAGCATGTATAAAACGCCTAGATTTGAAAATATAAATGCCATAATGATAGAATAAAATGATTAAATTACGTTGAATAAATATAAGATATTTTTTATCACATTTTAAAGAAATGTTCTCTTTTAGGGCATTGCATGAACAATTCCATATTATTCGACTTAACATGGCTGGAGCGGCACTTATTGCTTCAGTTTGTTTCGTGTTGTCTGGTTTCTTTTATGATGATGAGGTGAGTAGTAATTTATAAATGGAACACTTACGATTTTGATTGCGTTTTTGTTAATTGTCATACCTATAAGGAATAATGAATTCAATAGAATGGCTTCAGACATAAATAGACGATAATAGAAACACATAATCGAAACAGTTAAGATCTTTCTTTTACTTTCAATAATATAAGTATGCCCTATATTACAACGTAAGTTAATAATGTAAAAAGATGTTTTTTATCTAAACTTCTTAACAAACAAAGTTTTTTGTTTTAAAACTTTGTTTGTGTTTCAAAAAAAAAAAAGTTTTATTTGGCTTTCTTAACAGCATTTTGTAACAAGTGTTATTTTATATCGTAAGTATTATAAATAAAATAGGGTTTTAACAGTTTACTAAAAGGAAATTCGATACTCACTAATTTCTCATCATTACCGTCTGCATTCAAAGTAAAATGAGCGATACAATTATTTTGAACATGTAGAGCTAATAGGTTTTTTTCAGCAGGGAACAGGAAAATTCAGCTTGTATGGATTTGTGTTAATTACCAGATAATATCATATTACTTGGTCTGTAATTTCACTTCTACTTTTGTCGGCTCCCACCAGGATAAAAATTAGTGAATTTATTTAAGTGCAGAGTTTTTGAATTCTACAGAGAGCTTCTGGCAGTTACTGCTGGCCATCCCGCTCTTACTTCTCCCTTCGACTACATTACTTAAATCAATTTTAATTCTGTCTGCTGAAAGATTGAAAGCAGGAATCAAAGCTGGTATGCGAGCTAAGCTTGCCATTTAATCATTTCATTTCACTTGAGCTTTGGTTTCTGAGTTACCGCAAGTTGCGAAAACTTTGTAAAGTCATTAGGAATTTTGATACGGGAGACATGAAAAATGAGCAGTGCCCTCGCCGGGACTTTGAGCTTGGACCTCTCAGAAACGTGCCGAGTGTGCTACCGTCACACCAGGAAGGTGAGCTGAAAGGAGGAAAAAAAACCTTATACACTGCCCCTTTTAAAGGGTGACTTGGGATTAGGGTAACCAATCGCCAAATCCTGGTGATGACGAATTATTGTCCTCCATCTTTTAGCTCGGGCGTCATTGTAGAGTCCTTAGGTATTTTTTATGCGGGAAAAGTGAAAAATTAGCAATGCCGTCGCCGAGACTCCAACCTGGACCTCTCGAATACGCTCGGAGTGTGCTACCCTTACACCATGAAGGCATACTGGAAGAAGAGGGAGAAAAACCTTGTAACTTAATTTCCCGTTATTACACATGTTGTAAAATCATCAGATTGACAACTAAATAAAAGGTTTATTTTAAATTTTCTTCTGAGCTGATGTTATTTTACATAAGTCGTCTGATCGATCTGCATGGTTCCAGAAATTTATATTCAGAGTAGTTTGGATTCATGCAAGCTATGCCCTTGCTGAAATTCCAACTTCTGATATTCCGATAATCGTTACCCCGCTGCGTGTTCCCGTGGCATAACTGCTGGACGGATGCGATGTTACCCGAGTTATGCTGGATATGTTTCTACAGCTTAGTTACAGACGAGGGCATACAGTGGGAAGAGGTAAAATTCCTTATATTCCTCCCCACTCAAAAGTCAGCTGGGAAGAGGCAAGGAGACTTAGTCGGTCAAATAGACGCAGGGAAGAATTATCATTTACCTTTTTAGTCCAGTGCCTTTGTAGAGTCTAGCAGTTTCTTCGGAGCATGAAAAGGAAAATCAGTTACACCCTCTTGGATCCATATTTTCTTGTTATTAGTCATACGTGCCAACAGTAGAAGCAGTTATACCCCAAGAGCACGCAGAGGGAAAGATAAATAGTCCTTCCAAATGTATGCATAATAAGCTTCAAAATATACTTCTCTTTTTTAAATTTTATGCAAACATTAGTATGCATTTTCAATATTTTGATAGATTTCTGTTTATGTAATTTTACGTTCAAGAACGAAATTCTTAACACCAGAAGCACATTTTCCCCTGTGTTTTAATAATATTCAATTGAAAAATTTGGTTTCAGATTTAGCAACAGTAAGTATTAATTTAAGAATTTGAATTTTTCAAATTGCAACTTTTAGAATGATACAACTCAGTTTTGCAACATACGTACCATTTTAAAGGTCTTTTTCTTACTTCCCTGTACGTATTGCAACCGCGAAAAGTTTCGGGTATCATATTTCAACAAAATATCAATTTTGATCGTTCCCGACTCCATATGTACTATTTCTTTGCCTGACATCTCTGCATACAAATAGAATAAAGGGCTCATTTTTCCAAAACGGATTTTAGTTGTGACGTCTGTACGTACGCAAGTATGTATAAATGTTTGTATGTATCTCGTATAACTCAAAAACGATTAGACGTAGCACCACGAATTGAAATTTGTATATGCGGCTCATAAAACATCTAGCTGTGCACCTTCTTTTTATTGCAATCAGCAATGTCAAACATCGCTTAACAACATTGAAAATAGCATACCAAAAAGGGAACATCGGATTCAAATGAAATTCAGTGAATGTGATGATACAAAAGAGAGATTCTCTTGATTCTAAAATCAAGACAATTGAACAAATAGAGTATGTACAATTAGACGAATACAGTGCAACTCCTTACCGCCTCTTGCTGCAATACATGCTGCAACACTGTCCGACATTGAGTTGATTAGATGTGTGATATTTTTCTGAGTCAGATGGGCTCACAAATCATGAAAAGCATGTCCAAATTCTGTACACAATGACACAGCGGCATATGGCATTTCAGCTGGTCCCACACATGATCTATAGCGGACAAGTCCGCGGAGCGAGCTGGCAATGAAAACATCTGAACATGACTTAGGAAGTCTTGAGCAACTCGAGCTGTACGTGGACAAGTGAGTGAGTGAGCGCCACCAAGGAAAACCACTGACCTGGCCTTAGCCTCACAGTATATCTTCCTGGCAGAAATCATCTACTCTCTGCTCCACCCTGCTCCGGGGCCGCAGCCGAATAGGCGGCTAAGAGCATCATAAGACGGCTAAGAGCATACTTATCAGATTGATTTAGTGTGAATTATACATTTTTATGATTCAGAGCGCTAAGCACTTGATTATTTCATGTAAGCTTGGATATTGTTGTACGGGGAAAGAGTATCCTGTTAAGAACTACTTAAAATTAAGCAAAAAAGCAATCAAAGACTGTTAAGAATCGCTGTTAGAAAGACAGAAACTTGTGTTAGATAAAGTAAGATAGGAGGACTTGCCTGAAAAATTAACTGCCGTGGATTTTTGAACTTGCTAAATGTCTACATGCTGGTGTAATACTGACACAACTGTCATATATTTATGGGGCTTTTGTAAAAATCGTGGTCCCGCATGGAGGGAAAGATGTAACCTATTAAATTATTGCTCATAGTAAAGTTTAAAAAAAAAAGAAGATTAAAAAATGATTAAAAAAATACGCGCCCAAACATAATTTACGCAGATTACTTCCATGTGCTGTCTCTTATGTAAGAACATTTAAAAGATTGATACTGTTATCACTAAGATACAAATTCCTGCATAATTTAGTTCTTTGCGCATACTTAACTGTAGTGTTTTACAAATTGAACCATTCAGCTAATTTTATTTCGTAGTACTTGCAGGCAGGATAATACATTCATAAGTACAAACTGAATATTAAAGTGAAAAACAAACTAAACATGATATTGAGTGCAGAAAACAGAAGCTGATCCCTAATGGCTGCTACATACACTAAGAATGCATACGTAATACATGAAAACTAAAACTAAAACTGATAAACATAATACATAAAATGATCATTAAGTAGTGCTATGTAGTCTAAATCCTAGCCAAGTACGAAATGACCTTCATAGTACATGCAGAGAAGGAATATAGACAGACTGAGTACTTAAGTGAACATAAAATGAAAAGTACCGCACCATACACAGTAAAACTGATATCTGATTCCAAACACTAATTCCATAGTTACTTTTATCACCTTAGAACATGCACATAATTTATAAAAAAAATAATCAAGCACGTAATGTTGATTACTAGGGAAGATATTCAAACATGCAATTGATCACATAAATACAGATATCTCTTTCCTAAAATTTACATAAAAAGTTGAATATTTATTAAAATTAAGAAGGCAATCACAAGCTTAAGTTGAGGTGATAACATAAGTTGACCTTGCCCTTCTTGAACCTATTATCACAAACTTGTAATTTAAATACACGATTAGTAAGGTAGGAAAAAACTCATTGCTGTTGAAGATTTACGGCTCAATCTGGTCTTTTATCATGACTGTACATAATTGCATAAGTAAACATTTTAAAGAATATAGGCAGGTGTTTCCATAGTCCTAATTATCTAAGTTAGTCTTGGGTTGAGAGGTCACGAGGTGTAATGCCACTTATCAGAGATTTAGTGTGATTTATACATTTTTATGATTCAGAGCGCTAAGCACTTGATTATTTTAATTGGGGACACTTATCGTCGTATTTAGATAGTTTCTCTGACAATGGCTGATACCGCTTGTAGCTTTTTATGCTCTTTGTTTGTTCTCATATTTCCGCCCATTTTCAGTAAGCTTGACTTGGCTTTCTTATATGGTACTGTGCCGTGTTTGTTGCAGTGGAAGACGTAGTGGTTTGGATCCCCATCTCTCCACATTGCCATCTTTCTGTGGCACTCAGGCGAATCTATGCAGATAAGTAGGAATGGACCTGACCTGTATAAAATGTGTCTGCGCACTATTGCATTTAACGCTAGAGTTTTTTGGGAAGAACACATATTTCTCCTTCCTGTACTGCTGGTCCCATCTGGCTTGCCATCTGTCTATCAGTTGTTTTAGAGTGATCTTTTTGAGATGTGACCTAGTTAATCATCTGGCAGTTCTGTTCTGAGACCTCCTTTGCCGCTTCTTTTGCAAGGGTGTTGCTTCTCATTGCCTTAATACCACGTGAGCATGGCTTTCTGATGGTAAAACTGAGGAGGATTTTTCGAAGTTCTTGGACATACTGGCTTGCTTTTGTAACTTGATTGCGTAAGGCTAGCGCAGAATCTTTGTAAATAGTAATTTGGGTAAGTCTGTTCCTCTTCACATAATTAATCGCTGCTTTAAGTGCTGCCAGCTCAGCTTGGAATACTATGTGGACAAGTATTATCTAACTGGAAAATTGCCTGTGCAAGGCAATTTAGGGAAGGCTCTACTTGGCATCAAAGAAGTTATCAACATAACCCTTGCCCGTTAAGATTCCACTTACCACAATTAGAGTGGACCGGTTATCATAGGCAATGCCCTCACACTATTACGCCTGCTGAGCGGATAGTGTATGGCGCGAAAGCGTGAATGAAATTGTACCGTTCACCAAGGCGCCACCATACACCTACGCGGTTATTATCTGTCACCAAAACGAACCGGGATTCATCACTAAACATCAGGTTTTGCCAATATGTGGCATTTCACGTCGCTCTGGTTTGGCAATACTGTAGACAGTTTTGCTGACATTTCGACGTTGCATTAGCAATACACGAAAAGGGAGCTTGAATTGCAGATTTACTTCCACAAGGCGTCTGGAAATTATTTGTGGAACAAACTGACATCCCTACAACTAATGGTATTGTGGAACGAGTCACTGAGATCCACAATCACTTTCAAGCAAGATTCTTCGATCATCTCGCCTAATCGTTTTCCTGGTCGCTCCACACCCGATTCTCCTCACATGAGTACCATCCAGTGGTTACTGTTCATAACATGTTATCTTCTGACGGCACACTCCCATCGATCGACCTAGCGAGCAACAGGGCCTGCCGACCAGCCTGCAGTTTTTACGCCGATGATCAGGGTTTTCAAGGGCTTAGTGTGAGAAATGCTCTCATAGCTACTTGCATTCTCGCTACTTAGAGTACTCTTGAGTCGGAATAGATTTTCCATTATAATTTAATTATGCGAGCCGATTTATATAAGGCCTACTTTCTGATTGCAGCGCCACTGTTAGGTGTGTGGTCATGGGCATTGGCACCAAACCCGAATCATTTGCATCTTAGGTGATTGGGCCACCGTCACCTTCTATCAAGGGGCGGACAGTTACAGCCATGCCGGCTGTAACTGTCCATACCTTGATAGAAGGTGACGGTTCTCCGGAATTCGAATCTAGGCCCTCAGTATTGCACTAGGCTCTTCTAACCACTATACCGTCTGGGCGACAGTTTATTATCGTAAATATCTAATAATATTTAATATTGTTATTCTAAAAAGAATATTTACTACGCCGTACAAGGAAGTCATGTGGTTCCCACATCAGATTGTTTTATAGATCATCAGATTTTTTATATATGTTTTATTGTACTTGTTCATGGTGATTAAATTACATAATTTTGGTTTTAATATTTTCCCCCTTTTCTAGGAAGTATGCCGAGTCTTGTCTATTATGATTCATCTTTTTTATTCAGCGGTGGGTACATGGCTTCTTGTTGAAGCACATGCTATCTTTTCTGCTTTGGTGAATGGATCTTTTGGACCCCGATATACATGTTACATCATGATCGGATGGGGTATATTAAATTCATTTATATAATTACTTTTATATCAGTAAGAAGTCATTTAAATGTATTATTTAAGCTTCATTTAAACATTAGAGTATTACTTAAGCTGATTAAGTCATTTAAACATAAGAGTATTATTTAAGCTTCATATATAATTTAAAAAACCAACTTTATTTTATTAGCTGTCATCGAATTTAACAATTTTTATTAGCTGTCATCGAATAGCAAAAACGTTTACATTTCTAATTAAGTTTCTAATTATCTTTTATTAATTTATTTACTTCAAGTTGCAACTAATATATTACTGGTATTTTCAGCAAAGTCAACAACTCTCTAAAGCTGAGTTTTCATGTCGATTAAATTTTTTAAGGAGGCTGGAACAGTTTCTAGGATCTTAAGCCCTTTTCTTTGATTGGAACTAATTACTGAATGCTAATTAAAAAGTTTAACTTCAAGACAAATTAATTTTAATAATTTAAATACTGTAAGAATTTTGCTAAATTGTAATAATTCATTCCTTATGAATTTATTAATATTATCCTAATCTAAATCTTGTAATTATTTCATTTTTGCAGTATTTTATTTTATTTTAATCATTTAAATGCCGTTTTTTACAGCTGCACCTCTTGGTATGGTCGGTGGCTGTTTCACCGTCGTTTATGACTACGGTTATGATTACAGGTACGGTATATAAACGCATTCGATCAGACTTTATTTTAACTCTTAAATATGTTTCTGTGGACTAAAAAATGTATTCATTTCAGATGCTTGGTTGGACCGACAACGAACATGCGTTTGCTTTTGGTTACCCCAATCATAATAGTGACTCTGGTAAGAAAATTTGATTTTAAATTAATTTTTTCTGATTATTGTACATATATATTTAAGATAAAAATATGTAAAAGAAACTTCTAATTTTAATTGAAATAGTCCCTTTTATTCTTCATTTTAATTTGTGTACTTCCCTTTCCTGTCCTAAAAATAGCAATAGTAATTATGTATAATATATCATTCTAAACTACATCGTTCCAAAATTAATCCGTTCCATAAGACATTATCTAACCCTGTATAGCAGCTTTAAATATTGTTATTAAAATCTTGTAATTTAAAATAAATAAACATTAAGGTATATGTTAACGTCACTGTTTGAAACGCAGGCTCGAGAGCCACGTGTGGCTCTCGCACTAAGAACCCATTTATTTTATTTAAAAAATTTAGAATACGTTTTTTTCTTTTTGTTTATATGTCTCTATTTTGAGTGTTAAATAAAAATTACTGCAGAATAAATAGCATTTCGTCATATCATTTTGTACCCATAAGTGGCCGAGCTCAGTGCATAAAGCCGATATAGACTGGTAATTGAACTCGGATTGTAATTCCGGGAAACATAGGCTGACTAAATGGCCTTTTTTGGTTTTCTCCTTTGTAACATGAATACAAGCTCGTTTTTTCTTAGAAATTCTGCGCCATCCCTCCTGTAAGTCCGAGAGTACTTTGCCGTATTAATTAAACAGACACCTTTTTTTTAATTTCTGTACTGTTGAAAATGTTCTCATTGAAAGAAAGTATTTCATATTAACTTTTTTCCTAGCATAATTAATTCAATAAAAAATTATAACTGATCCGCTTTGATCTAATATTCTTAAAAATACTACTTATGTGGTCATTTATGCATATGTGCATGTGTCTTTAAATTCTGCTTTTTTATGTAAATTCTGAGCAATCTGTTATTCAGACTAGCTATTTCGATAAACGTATTTCTTCATATCATATTAACTAAATGTTATTTTTAAGTATTTACCAGGAGAATCTGTAAGGTTGGCGATGACTGTCCTTGGTATTCTAAAACTTATTCTTTTAGATTTGTTACGGTTCCTCATTTTATTAATATTTATATATTGAAGTGGTGTTTTAAATATATTTACATGAAGTAAAACATAAGACTGTGTTTTTCTATCTACTGTGAAGTTAATGAAGTAGAATAGTAGAATTGCAAGAAATTCTTTTTGAGAGGAAAGTGAGGATTTTGCCTTGAAGCATGAATTACAAGTACCTGACTCCAGTCTTTGTTTAAAAAATTGAAGCAGCACATTCTAGATTCGCGTTGTAATGATGATGATAACTGAAAGATGTATTCAGGAATGGTTTGAAGATTGTAACAAAAAACATTTTTTCTGCCAAATTCCTACACTTAGTGGATCGTTGTGTGAGGTATATTTAAATCTAGGGAAAGTATGTGGAAAACTGAGAGAGTAATTTTAAACATTTATTTTTTGAAAGCATGTTAGCCTTTCGATTGGCCTTATAGAACCTTTTAGTATTATAACCTCTTGTAACCAGTCGCATTCAAATAATGCTAGGAAATAATTTAATACATATTTTTTTCATTTTCATTTGATTTTATTCATAAAAATTATACAATTTCATTTTGAAAACTTTTTAATGAAAGAAAAAAATTGTCTATATAGAATTTTATTCAACACTTTTTTCATTGTTAACAGATGTTACTTGTACAAAACTTCTTGAAATTAGATTCAAAATAATTTATCGTATTAAATCTTCGACAATTTCTGCTTTTATTCTGATAGCTTAAAGTCATAAATCTTTTTTGTCCAACATCATTAAATCCTTAATTTCTCATAATAAAAAAGAAAAATATGCCGAAAGAAAAGTTTTAAAAAATTCGTATTATCTTCCTGGTATATAAATTAATAAACATGTTCATTAATCATTGTAACCACAAAAGAATTAACGTTTTACCTCTACCTTGCAATTAATTAATAGTTATGTGTCTTACAAGTTAACCAATGTTTTTAATTACACTATTGCAGGTCTTATTATTGCTTTTCGTTTATTAAGACATAACTGAAAACGTTCAAACAAAAGTACTTATGGTTTGGTTCCCGTAGGAGTTTGAATTATTTGATGGATTTCTGAATAAAGATTGTGACTTGGAGTGCAGAACAAAGTATAAACTCGGAATTTTCTATTAAGTGCTTCGAGTTATTAAATTAGATGGTCTGCGAAGCATCACTTGGGAAATACGATGTCACATCTTAACGTGGTAATTGAATTGAGTGTGCTCACAAAATTGTCGTAGTAATATCGCATGCCGTTAAAAAATATAAGATTAAATTTCACTAAAAGTATATAGATTTAGAATTTTTTTATATTACAGAAATTTGGGAATTTACTGTCATAATAAAATAATCCAATACCGTCAAAACATTTAAGTTTTAAAATTGCTAATTTCAAGCAAAAGAAACAATACGCTTTTGTTCAAATTGTTTCAAGGAAAGGTAATTAGCAAATAGTTACCAAATTGAGTGAAACTGAGCGTAATTTTTTATCATAAATATAGCTGAAGCTGTGAAATTGAACCTGCATGCTAATTCATAGAAATACATTTTAAAGATATAAAACTTGCAATTGGCATAGTAGCAATTTTTAAAAGCTTATTTTGTATATTAAAAAGGATGCTATCTATATTTTAAATTTTTTAATGGTTTAAGACTTTAATGATGAATTTTTTAACTGTTAGTTATTCCTAACAGGAATTTTCAAAATTTAAATATTCATTAAACACTTGGTAAACATGTTTATTGTTTTCAATAAGCGGATTTAATGCGCTGAAAAAAGTAGATAATTGCTTTTAGAGAGATATACTTGTTTTAAGACCCATTAGCAAACGATTTATCGAAAACAATGTACAGCTACGTCTTGAATAATCCTTTTCTTTGTTAAAGAAGGACATAAGTATCTAGATAGCGTTAATAGACAATGAAACAATAACCATGGTAATTTTTTTAATCATTTGGCTTTTCTATTTTAAATATCTCATTTTAAATTTAGGCCCACCAGCGACCCAGCGGTAAAGATGCTGAACACTGGTAGTTCGGTCCGAGGTTCGAATCCCACACGAACGGGCTGGCTGCATGGGCGTTTACGAGCCAGTTTCCCTTAGAAAGTCCTCCACGAAGCCATACCTCCCTTTAGGCCAGATAGCCGTCGTGTGCTTTGCCATAACTGAATAATCCAATACAATCCATTTTAAATTCAAAGCTCCATGTTTTGTACCTTTAATTTGTCGATGTTTAATTCTTAAACTACTGAAGCATAACTACTTAGCTTAAAATTTCTTCAAGTGTTAAACTGAAATCTGCATACAATTCGTGAAATTTTAATATCCTTTTGCTACTCGGTCTTTTTTGCTGCTTGCTGTTAGCACAGACGAGAAGTGCGACGCATTTGTTCCCCGTGTTGTTCAAGATGATAAATAAATTTGAAGTTTGATCGTGGGTCTGCTTAGAGTAAGCTAAATATCTTAACGCTATCACAAAAGTGTATCACTGCGATAACTACAGATATTTGATCTGTTTCGCTGTGTGAGCGTCTGATTGGTTCTCGGGATCCCTATAAATTAAACGATTCACCGAAATTTAAATGGAAATCATTCATATAACAAAGTTCTGAAGGCCTAAAAGTAATTACCTTTACTTGTTGCAAGAAATTTCTTGAAGATATTATCTATTTCAAACAATATCCATGGGAAAGATGTTCTATAAGTAGACCAACTTCCTTTTTCGGTGGATAATGAACTTTTTATTCTAATTACTAATAAATTGCGTTAAATCTCCTATATTCCGATTCTGGGGCTGGCGATCGTAATTATTAAACTGCTTTTCAAATATTTGTAAATAATGGCAACTATATTCTTATAAGGGTAATTTTAGAACCCTAATAAGGGAGTCCAGATACGAAAGATAATACGAATTCTAGAAGTTTCAGAACCCTAATAAGGAGAGAGCGCGTCTATACGCAGAGATAAGAGGTCGTGGTATTGTCCCACATTTGCTTCACGGGAACGGAAATCGCTTACAAGAGATTTTTTATATGCAGTTACAGCAAGCATAGGACTTCAGTAGGTAAGTTCATCATATTCACTGATTATTTAATTAATTTTCTAAGTATTACTGTTGCGGCTTGTGTTCCTGACCGTCGTTACTTTAACACAGTAATCAGTTACCCGACCCTCCTTCCTTCTGCTGATAAGAAAAAGGAACTTTATCATTCTCCCCTCCTCTCAGTCTCGGACACAGGCAGCGCAGTGGTGCGCTTGTAATCGAATACTACTCTAAATCCTCCCCTTAAAAATCGCTTTTATTTTATATATTTTGTTTCCAAAACAAGAAAGAAAAGATTGTCAACAGCCATCTTTGGCCACAAATGAGTAGTAATCATCTTACGACTGTCAGGATATTTTTTTAAATTTTTTTATTTTTTTAATTATTAGTACTACACTACATTCGTGCCAAGTGCGTGTTTCCATTCAGCTCAAGCAGTATTTTCCTTTATTAGTGCTACAGTGCAATTCCTCATCCAATTTCATATCTGTGAAAGTGTGTGCATTGCTTATTTTGAATGAGATTTTAAGGCTTACGAAGTATTTACCTCTTACGTACCCCAGTCCGAACTAGTGCTATAGCACATACTCAATATATGTAAAGAACATTTATGAGATTTCACTATACATCTCCTTTTTCATTATTAATACCGGAAGTTTGTGCATCGTGTTCTCGCAGTACGGTACATACTTTACTGTCAGTTTATGCGATTTGATTGTACATCTCCTCAATCAAGTTTAATGCTACGAAGAGCTCCAGTATTCATCATATTATTCAGTGCTGTGATATAGTGCGTGTGAATATTATTCAGTACTTACTTAGAGCAGTGAAAAGTGCGTGTTGTATTGTGCTCAAGTATTCATCTTTGCTTCATCAAGCGCGTAATTTTTATTCAGTGCTTACCGTGAGTGTGTGTGCATACGCTAT